ACCAGACCATTTGGGGTGGGGTGGGGGTGGTAGTGATAGTGATAGTGATAGTGATAGAAAGGAAGAGAGGGGACTGCAAGGCGCGTTTGCAGCTTGTTTTCTAACGTCTCCCAGAAGAGAATTATATATATAGATTTGCAAATGCAGCAGTTCTTTGATTTTGGACTTTTCACTTCTAGATGGTTTGTTGTCCCCAACTAAAGGAGCCTCGTTTGCCCGGGGGCAGAGGCGTAGCTACCCCATTCCGGCGCCCGGGACGAACTGTCAATGTTGCGGCCCCCACCCATACTTTGTTATTAGCGATGGCGAAAAAAGCGCCCACCACCACCACCACTACCACCACCACCACTCTACCACCACTACCACCACCACCACCACCACCACCACCACCACCACCACCACCACCACTACCACTACCACTACCACCACCACCACTACCACCACCACCACCACCACCACCACCACCACCACCACTACCACTACCACTACCACTACCACTACCACTATCACTACCACTACCACTACCACTACCACTACCACCACTCTACCACTACCACCACCACCACTACCACCACCACCACCACTACTACTACCACCACTACCAAAACCACCACCACTACCACTACCACTACCACTACCACCACCACCACCACTACTACTACCACTACCACTACCACTACCACTACCACTACTACCACTACCACTACCACTACCACCACCACCACCACTACTACTACTACCACTACCACTACCACTACCACTACCACTACTACCACCACCACCACTACCACTACCACTACCACTACCACTACCACTACCACTACCACTACCACTACCACTACCACTACCACCACCACCACCACCACCACCACCACCACCACTACCACTACCACTACCACCACCAATTCAGGTAATCAGTCGTTAAAGCTAAGTAGCAGTCATTTCCTTAAATTTGACTGTACATAATGCAGCTTAAAACTAATTTATTTTTGTGTACCCCGTTTCGCGCCCCCCCCCCCGCCCTCCCCTAGTTACGCCTCTGCCCGGGGGTTAGCAGTCATACGCTACAGAGGCGTAGCGATGGGGGGGGGGGCAGGAGGGGTACATATGTCCCCGGGCGCCGAACTTAGGGGGTGCCAAAATGGGTTGTAAAAACAAATTAAAATGTCATTTTAGCTACATTTTTGCATTATAAATACTTTGATGGGGGGGGGGTGCAAATCGAAAGTTTGAGGGGAGTGCAAATCGAAAGTTTGAGGGGAGTGCAAATTGAAAATTTGCTCCCGAGAGAGACGCCATATTGAAAGTTTGTCCCCGGGCGCCGGGAAGGGTCGCTACGCCTCTGATACGCTCTCCCGTCCAACCTCGCCGCCCCCCCCCCCCCCCCCCCCTGTTTTTATAATCAATCGCATGGTATACTTATTGCAAAGTTGGCAATCGACAGACCTGCACAACCGATTGCTCTTACATTTTCAACAAACTTTAATTTGTAAAAGGATTAAACGAAAGACTTTTTTTCTGTTCGCGCGGGATGATAAAACTCATCAGTGGCTCAGTGCATGTGGTGTATTAGCAGCTACGAAGTACGATGTCAAAGCCATCAAGTTCAAAACGGAATACCAGAACTGCGACGTTTAAGTCTATCGATACTGCGGTGAATCAAGAAGCTGACGTTTAGGCCTACTTACTCCGGCGTTAACCCCCCCCCCCATCTTGATGTGAGAGTTGATTTTCACGTATCCGCACTAGATATGCGCCATCAACTAATCCCAGATCACAAATTTATAATTTTCGTTTAATAAATCGAGCGGTGAGGGCGCCTCGGGCGCCGACCCTAAGTGGCGCCAGAAGGGGTAGAAAACAAGAATTTAAAAGCTCATTTCAAGTTGAAGCATTGAATTATACACACTCAAAGTTAATAAAATAAACAGCTTCATAGTTTTACACTTTGATTAAACTGTTTCTACATCAAACGTGGGGGGGGGGGGGACATGTGGTGGGCGTCCCTCCGATATTTAATTTTTATGTGTGCAAGAAACCTTCACGGGAGTTCACTCAACAACTTCCAAGTTTCAATGTTGATCTTATAAAAATCTGATGATTTGTTTAAAGTTTAAAGTTACAATCTATATTGCAATATTTACTGAAGGATCATTTAATCCATCAGCATACACAAAAATGTTCATTTCCATTATGTACATAGTACATATAGATCTATGCCCAGATCAATATAAATTTTTAAACTGATCCAACATACGTAGTTGTGAGTTTAATTATAATTTAAAAGCCGAAACATGTTTTCATAAAATCTGAAATTTAGGGTCATAGGTCAAGATTATGTTTTGACCAGATTTATGTGATAGGTTAGGCCTACTTTAAAAACATTGCATGGACTAGATGAAGTAGGTCTGGTGTAATTCTAGTTCTAGTCAATATTTACCTCCCACACTCTCTTTACCTTGCGACTAATACAGGACTTTACACTACTTTACACTTTACAGTGATTTATGATTTACCATCACGTCAGTGTGTGTAGGTATAGTATAGTTTTTTTAGATACAATTAAATTTACTAAACCTAGTTATTAAATAGTAAAGAGACCTAGAATTCTAGATCTACCGACTACATTCCACATTCTATTAATAGTATTAATCTTTCTCCACCGGCGTTAATGCTTTGTTTTATTCTTTGATCTAAATCTAAGATTTTATTTAACCTAGTAATTTATTAAGTAATTCTATCATCATTTTTTAAAATTGTAACATATTTAGTTATTTACAGTCAAGATCTAGAATCAAGATCTTGTTATAGATCTAGTATGTAAGTATGCGATAGCCCTAGATTCTATAATTAAATTAAACTTTAAGTATAGTATAGTATAGTAGTATAGTTAAGTAGGCCTATACTATAGGTTATCCTATCCTATAATAATAGTATAATATTATAGGCTACTTAGGCCTAAAGTTTAATTTAATATAGGGGCCTAGATCTATATTTAATTTATTTAGGCCTATATATATATTTTTACTAGGCCCCTACTATTCTAGATCTAGATCTCTATTTTATTTTGAGTAGTCTTGAACCCAATATTATGAGAAAAATATTCAATATCTTTAAACTTTAAGAGGGGCTAGGCTACTAATCCTTAATTTTAATAATTTAAGCACCATTATTTATTCAAGTTAATTAGGCCTTATTTAAATAAATTTGTAATTAGGCCTAATCTTTTAATTAATTCAAGTGTAGATGATATTTAAAAACTTTTAATTTATTAGGCCTTAATTTTCATTTTAGAAAACTGTTGTTGACAAAGCTCAGTTATAATATTTTAGAAAGATATTGATGTTGGGGGGGGGGGGGGGGGGCTGTAGTCTGAGGTGTGACATGATTTTGTTGGGGGGAGGTCTGCTTTTTTAGGAAGGTGGGAAGAAGGGAGGTAAAATTCGTCAAAAAAAGTGTGCTGTCGTTTAGGGATGACCAGTGGCGTAGCAATGTTGGGTGTCACCCGGTGCGGCACTAAATGGTGTCACCCTCCCCCCTCCCAAAGGCGTAGCGACCCTTCCCGGGGAGAACTTTCAATTGTCGATTTGCACACCCCCCCCCCCTCTTCAAACTTTCGATTTGCACCTCTCAAAAGACTATTTAACGCTCGAATTAATCACTTAATTAAGTGGAGTTTTCATTTTTCTATATATTTTAATATGTTTTGCCTTGTTGTCACCCCCCTAAATGGTGACGTGCGGTGTGTGTGTCCCCCCCCCCCCCCCCCCCCCCCCCCCCCCGCTACGCCTCTGGAAATGACCCCTATCAACATTTGAGAAACCAGAAATGGATTAAGAATCTCTTACAGTTTCCGGAAATCGCTCAAAAGTTGATAGAAAACTACAAAGTGAATATAATACTTATAAATGAAATTTTATCAACCTAACTCAAACAGTCCTCAATTTATTATGTTTACTTTGAAACACCATTATCTTAGTTCAACACTTTCTTTAACGGTACACAGTGAGGGTTATTGTGTGGTACTTCCCTGTTAATAAAGGGTCATCCCAATGGCATAACTAGGTAAGATGACATCCAGTTTGGTAATCCGGGGTGTAACCCCCCCCCCCCTCATCAATAATGTACAAAAATTATAGACAAATTGTTGTCACCCCCCTGCACTTTGATTATGCCACCCTGTGCATAACAAAGTATAAAATCTAAAGAAGTTTTTAAGTAAAAATATTCCCTTTTTCAAACCTGGCGGTCCATAAAAAATTCAAGTGAAGTGGAGTTCACCTGTTTCTGTGACCTCAGCATATAAAGGGATAGTGTGGTCAGCTCTAGGCCCAGTTGCCTTTACTTTCCCTAACTTGAATTAGGTAACCATCAGAGCTGGGTGGACTTAGACATGTTGTACTGACTTGAACCCACATTTGAAAAGAATTTGTTGAACTAGCTGGAAAAAGTGGACTTTCTCATTAAAATTTTTGACTTTTTGTTTTGGTGTCACCCGGTGAGGTCTGCACCCCCTGTCCCCCCTTGTGATGGTAGTGGGTCATCCATAATTGACATCCTACTCTTATAGGGTGGACAGTTCTGACTTTTGTGATGTGGGGAGGGAAGCGGTTCAGAGAGTGTGACGACACACTTTTGCGGTTTCAAAAATAATGTTAGATATTACAATTTGGCCAAGACTTTTTGGATTGTAAAATCTTCTTCTTCGTTCTTAATTATTAGTGCTGAAGGGGATTGAGATTTATCTGCCAGTGGGTTTGAACTCGAGACTTTGTTCGAATTTATCAACCATAAGCTTTTTGCCGACTCGACCACGCCTCCAACACAATTAAGGATTGTAAAATAAAGAAGATCCATATAGGTCCTCTCAGTGTTAACTGAGCTAAGTAAATGTTTTAGAAAGAAATTGCTGGTTAAAAATAAAATTTGCTATATTGATCGGCTGAGGAGTGGTGTCCTTTTTAGTGAGGGGGGGGGGGGGAGCTTCTTGCTTCTTTTTTTATGATAAGGAGGGTAGAGATAAATTACTCATTAGCAATTCTGCCATATCAATTAAGCTTAGTTAGCACAACTACAACAGCTTATTGAATCAAACGCTAACCTTAACCATTGAATTATCATCATAGACAATACCCACTGTTAAATTATGTTGATGTGGCTAAATAACTTAAACCCATTTTTTGAACTCTCAGATGAGTCATAGCTGCTTGATAATCTTGGCTTCAAACAATGCATTCGGCTACATTTTTTCCTCCTTTTCTAGGTCAATAGCATACTTATGGTAACACATTTATCTTTTCACCACTAGTTCTTGCACCTAGACAGAATGACATTAAGCTTTTGTTTTGTTTATTTCTGCCTATACAGCTGGTTGATACACAATTCTGCACTTGAATAAGTGGATAATTCCGCACATGCATTGCTGGACATTAACAAGTTGTTTTCTTTTTGTTTTTGCCTGTACTGCTGGTTGATACACAATTCTGCACCTACATAGGTGGACATTAAGGTTTTGTTTTCTCTGCTTGTACTGCTTGATGATTCATATAAAGATTGACATTAAGGTTATGTTTTCATTTTTTTTTCTGCCTATACTTCTGGTTGATACACAATCCTACACCTTTAAAGATTGACATTAAGGTTATGTTTTCTTTTTGTTTCCGCCTGTACAGCTGGTTGATACAAATTTCTACACCTACACAGATCGACATTAAGGTTTTTGTTTTTTTCTGCCTATAATGCTTGTTGATTCATATAAAGATTGACATTAAGGTTATGTTTTCATTTTTTTCTGCCTATACTTCTGGTTGATACATGATTCTGCACCTTTAAAGATCGACATTAGACATTAAGGTTATGTTTTCTTTTTGTTTCTGCCTGTACTGCTGGTTGATACAAAGTTCTGCACCTACACAGATTGACATTAAGTAGTTTTTTTTCTTTTTGTGTTTGTGTTCTACACAGGTGGGTGATCAGCCATAAAAAAGTTATTGAACAGTGGCTATGTTATAGGGGGGGGGATCTTTTACTCAGCACTTCTTATTTGCCTAAGAGCCTTTGTTTAATATTACTATCATTGTTAGTGTTGATGGTGATATATAAACATGTGTAGGTAGGTTGGTTATGCTATAAAAAAAGTTATTGAACAGTGGCTATGTTATAGGGATCTTCTCCTCAGCACTTCTTATTTTATAATTATTGAAAAAGCCTCAGAGTCTGTGTTTAATGTAACCAACATTGTTAGTGTTGTTGGTGATGTATAAGTATGTGTAGGTAGGCTGGTTATACTATTAGTTACTTATTTCCTACAAAATTTGCTGTAAATTGGACCTAGTTTTATAGGTAAGACAGCGGTTAGATTGTGCTTCACTGTGTAGATGTATCCTTTAGTTTTGTGGTATGAATTAGTCATGTCATGCGTCTTAATTAGGAGATATGTAATCAGTTCATAGGTCAAGTGTACCAGTGAGATAAAATAGGGTGGTGCATTTTTTGTGTAGCTTTAGTTGCAATACAAATTACATTCTTGACTGATAAGTCAACTATATGCTCGACTTTTTTGTTACATTGCTATCAGTAAATTCTTGTGATATTGGTATTGTGTCTTAAATTGAGTTAAAAATTTCCTGAATGTAGGTATTTACTCAAGGATAAGTTTATTGCTTTTTTTTTACTTCTTTCATTTTTTAAGCTTAATTAGCCTATGTCTTTGATGTTTAATTACATCTGTTGAGGCTAGTGTAATTTTAAGATGAGATATCAGATGCTTAGTAGGATTGAAATGGTAGATAAGTTGAAGTGTTTAAGATACACTTGTGTTGATAACTTTGTACTTAAAATCACAGCCGCCCTCAACACTATGTGAATGAGAATGCTGTTTGTTATTTTCCTAGCCGGCTCACACATTTATACATGGATACCAGCTGGATGATCTGTCTATAAAAATTTAGCACTGTTGTTTTACCATAATTTTGGTTATGCTGTTTCTTTCCTAGTCGGCTCACACATTTATACATGGCTTCTAGCTGGAAGATCTGTCTCTTTCCATATTAAACTATAGCAGTGTTATTTTACCATAGCTATATGGATGCCTTAACAGAGTAACAGGTCATTAGATATGTATGGATGTGTTTGATGAAATTTTATTTCTTTCAATATCGCATTACAGTTTTTTTTGTTTTTATGCCTTTGCATAAAAAGTTTGTTGTGCCTAATTGTGTTGTGAAATTTTCAATAGGGTATGATCAAAGAGCCAAATACTGTTTTTATCTGGTGATGATTAGTATACAAATAAAACCAGTTGCTAGCAGAAGATGACAGTTCCTTTCCTGATACGTTGTCTGCCTAGGGCGGTCTCATATCGTCATCGAGACTTTGCGTAAGTTTTATAAAACTTTCTTATCACTTGTGTACAGTGTGGTGGCCACTTAAGATTATAATTATTTTAATCGTTTGTTGTAGTTAAATAATTTTTTATCTAGATGAAGCTAAAATTTCTCTGACAAGCATTTTTGTGGAAGGAAATTTTGAATGTTGACACAGTTTTCATTCAAAAGATGTAAAATAGATAGCATAGCTGCTTGAAGTGGTTGTACATTTCACTAGTTCCATCTTATGGACAACAAAACATTACATCAGATGTAGTAGAGTTCATAAAATCTGTTCCATCTTAGAATTGTATGACACAATTAAACATTACATTAAATATAATACAACTCATATTTTTGTTCTATTTCAGCTACAGATGGGGTATCTTGTTCTTTACTTTTATATGCTACACTAGCTATCATCTCTCTAGGAAACCAATTAGTGTTGTTAAGGTAATCCTTTTTCTCTTAATCTGAATGTCTTTGAATCTATATCTTTTTCTCAACACTTGTTAAAGCTATAAACCCTATCCAGTTCTATTATAAGAGTTGCAGTTGGCTTGTACTAACATGTTCAAAAAGTAACTCTCCTCTGTCAATGAATTCAGTGTTTTTGTTTATTTTATTTAGAGTGTTTTACATCATAAAAACTGCAGCACAGAGCCCCATGGCAAAAATGTTAACACAAGCAATCCCTACTGGTGTGACTGGGCTCCATTTAGTGAGTTTGTTTTTACTTTCATACTTTGGTCTAGTACAATTTTTTTTAAGACCTAAGAAATTTATATTTAGTAATCATTATGTGTTTGGTGGTTTTGTTCTTATATAATTTTAATGCATAGGAAATGAATATTAATGTATTATTATTTGTTTCATTGCTTTGGTTTAGCACAATTTTAAAACTAAGAAAAGCATTATAATAAGCATTAATGTACAAATTTAAGGTGTTTTTTTTTTACATAGCTTTGGCTTTGGCTCTTAAGAAAAGTAACAAGTATAAATGTATTAATCTCTTGAATGGCCTAATGTTTCAGATGTTAAGGACTACAAGGATCTTCTCGGAGCACTAGATTTGTGTTACCTTTTTTCGTATGCTGTTGCTATGTTCCTCAGGTAGTTTTTTCTTTTCAAATTATAAGTTAGTTTTCATTTGGAGCTTGTTATGATCTTTCCATGTCTAGTTAAAATCATAAATTCATCTTATTTTGACCGTATTATCTTGTGTCATAAAATCATATATTAATGTGTAATTATTTTATGTCATGTTTAATTACTGAAAATTATTTACTGCAAGTGTTATTTAATAATCACTCCAGTAAAATTATCTGGGTTATTTTATTGTTAAACCCTCTTAAGACGTAACTTTATTTGAGAGCCGGCGCTAAAAGATGGAGCCTACTATTAAGCTTTGCACTTGTATCACAAAAAAATCGATAAAAAACGTAAAAAATGAGGCAAAATTTCCATGAAAGCCGCCATACTGAAGTGCTAGAATGAACTAAAATAGTAAGAAGCAATCTGATTGGCTGATATGATACTAGAAAGCCAGTCATGTGGCTTCTACTATCACTGCTCGTCTTTTTAGCTATAAAATCGCTGCCGATAGATCGGCCCGGTCGTCCCAAGAGGGTTAACTTAAGAGGTGGTGACCCTTACATGAAAAATGTGAATGACTTCCTGTAACATTTAACATTAAGAATCTTGTGTTTAGAATGAAATAATTTGTTGTCATTTTTTTTTTAACATTTTGTTTTACCTGTATATATTGAATTAAAAAGGCTTGAAAATTGAGGCTGCATTGGTTTTGCTAAGCTCGTTCAATTGCCAGAAATTTTTTTATAACCAGTATAGTTACTTTTTTAAAATCTCATTACTCTGACTGAACAGCCCGTTCTACTTTTCCCAGTGGTCATATAGCTGACCGTATGAACCTGCGCTACTACCTGTCGGGGGGTATGATTCTCAGTGGTGTTTTCACTGTTGCCTTTGGCCTTGGCTATTACTATGATGTCCACACCCTCCCATTTTACATTGCTATGCAGGTGAGTTTTAGAGTTGAATCTTTCTGGTGTTTAAATAAAAATTCAATAATTTTTAACTCTGTGTTGGAAAATAAAATGGGGAACTATTGGTTGTTGTGTATCCCTAAATAGGGTTAGGGGAATTAGAGATCCAGTTATATTATTGTGTCAAAGACATACTTGTGATTATTTCTTTCTAAATGTTAATGTTGTTAAAGATGAATGGTTGGATGGAATTGGGTGTGTTGTAAAGGGGTGTGTTGTAAATGGATGTGTTGTAAAGTGCAGGGTTGCTAACACCAAAGCCTTGAGACTCCAACTGACTCTAGCACTATGCCATTTCTACTTTCCTTCATTCTTTGTTATCCCTCAGTGCCATGCTGACTCACTGCCTTTCAACTCAACTTTGTAGACTCTTATCTTCCCAGTTGAGAAGTCTGCTTCACAACTCAGAATTTGACTCTGTATATAATATCACAGTTAACAACAATACAGTTCAGTTTATATGTGTCATTTATTTTTTTATTTTAACTAAGTGTAATGTTTTTTTCTTCTTCTGTGTAGATCTTAGGTGGAATTTTTCAAGCCACTGGCTGGCCTGGTGTTGTTGCTTGTGTAGGGAACTGGTTTGGTAAAGGAAAGTAAGTCATTAGTTTAAACAATTTACTTTTTTCTTGCGGATTAATTTTACAAATTAATTGGTTTGGTAAAGGAAAGTAAGTCATTAGTTTAAACAGTATAAGTTTTTTTTTTAAGTTGAGGTTTCATTTTACAAATTCCCTGGGTAACTGGTTTGGTAAAGGAAAGTAAGTTAATAGTTTAAACAATATACTTTTTTTATTGAGGTTTAAATTTACATATAACTGGCCGGGTGTATGGAACTGGTTTGGTAAAGAAAAATAAGTAATTATATAGATATTTTGATTGTGTTTTGACTTATAGTGTCATAGAGCTTTAGCCATCTCAGAAATTGAGAATCCTTCTACTGTTATATTTAGAGTAAATCAGAGTATGCATACAAACCTACTGGTCCATAACACAGACCAATTTAAGTTTTTTTGTTCATATCCCAGGGATCCAAAAGGATTATATGATTATAAGACAACTATTACTTCCACAAAATGATAGAAACAAATTTGATTTTTATTTAAATAAACTAATCCTTATATAAACATGTATTATAGTGTATATATTTTTTCATAGACGAGGCCTTATAATGGGTATCTGGAATGCACATACAAGTGTTGGGAATATACTTGGCTCGGTTATAGCAGGCGCATTTGTAGAGGATGAATGGGGGATGTCTTTTGTTGTTCCTGGTCTGATCATTATAGCTGTTGGTGTACTGGTGTTTCTCTTCCTTGTTCCGCGTGAGTATCTAAAAATTTTATTGTGATGAAAAGTTAGATGAATACAGTGAATTATATTTTTGTAACAATGAAACTGTTCATTAGCTGAATACAATAGTGGGTTCACACTGGTTTTGGTTTAGTTATCACATAGGTGATGACCTGTCATCATCATTAACTTTTCTCGTTTGTGGCCGAGACACATGTGAATGGTGAAGTAGAGTTCATTTGTTTCAATGGCCTCGGCATTCATGGGGATATAGTGTTCAGCACTATGCCCAGCTGCTTTATTTGCCCTAACCTGAAAAAGGTTCGCATTAGAGCTGGGCGGACTCAGGGATCCGAACTTGAGACTTTTGGGTTGGCAGCCATATGCTCTATCGTCCGACCACGCCATCCCGTAATTTAACATATACCTCTTCAAAGTACTCTAGTAATATCATATGTTTTGTTGTGTCAAAACATTTTCTTGTTTTGGGTTAATGGGGTATGTGTTTGTTTCAATCCCCGACAGATCCGCGAGATGTTAACTGTGAACCACCTGACCATTCTGATGCTGTAAGTCTTTTGTTTTCTTGCTGTATTCATGTGCAAAAAGTTAATGTTTTAACAGAATTTAATTTTGAGGTGGGGGGGGGGAATAAATGAAAATGGACCTTTAGCACTGTTAATTGTAACAGGTTTGAGGATACAGGTGCCCTAACTTGGAACATAATAGTTATCCAGACTTGTCATGCTTAAATTTTACATTTCATCATAGTGATTTGGTATATAAATGTCTTTTATCAATCATTTGTAACAAGTCGTATAAATAGTATAATCTATATTGTATATTATTTTTGTTTTAAATCTATTGTAAACATCAATTATCAGCCAATATGAACTTCTAATTTCAGCCAGTATAAAATTCTAATATCAGCCAATTTGAACTTTTATAATATCAATTAATGTAAGCTTCTAATCAGCTAATTTACACAACTAATACTAGATAATTTAAACATCTAATATCAGCTAATATGTACATCTAATATCAGATAATCAAAATGTCTAATATCAGCTACTATGTACATCAAATATCAGATAATGTAAACACCTAATATCAGATAATGTAAACTTTTATGATATCAACTAATGTAAACTTCTAATCAGATAATGTGTGAATCTAATATCAGATAATGCGTATATCTAATATCAGCTACTATGTACATCTAATGTCAGATAATGTAAACATCTAATATCAGATAAAATGCGTACATCTAATACAATCTACTATATATATATATATATATATCAAATATCAGCTAATGCATACATCTAATATCAGCTACTATGTACATCTAATATCAGATAATCAAGTAACAAGTAGCTTACAATCGTAACACCTGTTGTGTGAAACCTTGGTTAAATTATCAATAAATAATTAAGCCTTCCTCGTCCATTTGATAGGCTGAAGTGAGAGAACAAAAATCAATACTTTTATTTAACTATAACATCTTGTTTACGACTTCAGCATGTAAATAAATCTGGAGATTTTTATTTCATTTTTACTAATTTATGGCAAATTTTTAAAAATATTTTGTTAATACATTAGAAATTGTTCCAACTCAAACCTTTATGTGTTTTTAATTCAAAAATTAAGTCATACTTTAAAAATTTATGAAATGGTTTGAAAAATGTTCAGTAGCTGATTTATATTAAATGATGCAATGGGCAAGTAACATTTTCAGCATGGTTTATAGAAATGCATCTTCTACTTAGTGGAATAGGGTTTCAATACCAATTCCAAAATTTGTTTTAGTATTTCCAGTTATACTGTTTCATTAGTAGAGGAATTAACTACTAAAAAAAAGATTGTTTATTTAAATGTAAACATTACACAGAATAAAACATAAAGGAAAATACAATATTTCAAATGTATTTTATTATTTCAAATACTAAGTCAAAATGATCTCTGTCATCTTTCAATCTTTTAAATGTATTTCATTATTTCAAATACTAAGTCAAAATGATCTCTATCATCTTTCAATCTTTCAAATGTATTTCATTATTTCAAATACTAAGTCAAAATGATCTCTATTATCTAAGCTCACCATATGCCTTCAAAAGCCATCTGTATGCAAATCCAATGAGTTGATTGATTAGTTCATTGTAGCCATACAGACACCCAGCTGGTGCAATGTTTTTATGTATGTACGTGTTGATTGCCTGTCACAGCAACATGTCACCACTTAAAACATCTGTATCTTGCGTATTGAGTGCTGATAAACTTGCGTTCCTAGTAGATTGTACTGTTATCTCGGGTGATCTATATTTTAATTGTTAAAATTTGAAAATCTTTTATATTGAGCTGTCTTTTACATGTTTAATATTAGATTATATGGGATTTATGTCTAATAGATCATCTATAATTTTAATATGTAAACACGTATAAAATTATTTTCCTAGTATTTTTTACTGTTATCTCAGATAATCTATAATTTAATTGTTTAAATTTGAACGTCTTTTATATCGAGTATTCTTACGTCAGATCATTTACATGTTTAATATTAGATCATATGGGATTTATGTCTAATACCTCATCTACAATTTCAATATGGAAACATGTATAAGCTTATGCTCCTAGTAGATTGTTTTGTCCAGTACGTTTCAGATGGTCTATATTTTAAATGTTAAAATTTGAAAGGCTTTTATATCTATTTGGTTTATGTCAGATCATTTACATATTTAATATTCAAACATATGGGTTTTATGTCTAATAGATCATCTACAATTTAAATGTGTAAACATGTATGGCTTTCACATAGAGTTGTTCTAACCATATACAAGATCAATATTAAAACATATATGCGTTTAATGTCTAGTAGATTTGAAAGTATCTACAGTTTGTTCATAGTTATAAGGCATATTTTTTTTAGTTGTTGAGATTATCTTTATCAGTAGTTCTTAACCATTTAGGGGTACCAAACCACACCATTTTTAAATGCACATTCACTGAACCCTTCTTGATAGTTCTATCTTTTGCACTGACAAAATCTGATCATGATTCATATGAGTATAATGAGTCTGGTATGTGTCTTGACCTCTGCCGAACCCCTGAGACTGACTCACCAAACCACTGGGGTTCTATTGAACCCAGGTTAAGAACCACTGATCCATATGTTACATATTAAACATGGTTTTTGTGTCTGATAGATTTACATGGTTGAATAGTATTTACATTTTGAATATTTTAACATACGGTATTTATATTGATTTTATAACATCTGCATGTTAAATATTAAAACATTTTTTTCTGTCTAGTAGATTAAGGATAGAGTAAATTTAAGATAAAGTAACCCGCATTTAAGATTGCAAACTTATAAGGGTTATATGTCCAGTAATTCTCAGATAATCAATTCAATGGTAAATATTCCATTTTCAACCAACTCAATTATAAAAATCTGAAATGAATCTTTGAATCATTTCTCTTTGTAAGAAAGGGATTTATTATTCACGCATCATTTAGCAGTAAGGTCATGCACATATACGCCCCCTTGTTTCATGTATGGTTGAATGCACACCTGTTTCCTTTTAATGTCTTGTTTACAAAAATCAATATTCATTCATTCTTTTCATTTATTCACTTTGTAAATCGTATTGGTAAATAAAAATCTCTAAATCATAATTTATTAATGGAAAAGGTTTATGAATATGAAAAGAGTTACAATGAAACTTTTTATAATTACATATAGATCTATATAGAAACAATATTATAGATATTCAGAATTAGTATGGAATGCCTCTCTGTTGCCTGATTGACAAAAGGCAAAAATGACAAACAATTTTTACTTATCTGTGCGCGTCTTCATTGTGTCCCAAGGCAAAAGGAGCCAAATATGATACATATAACACTTTAACTTTGTTGCTACATTTAAAAAAGATTTAAAAGATAGTATAATTTAGAGTTTTCTTGCCAAAAGTTCCTACATTTGGTCTAGTTTTTTTTAGTATTATTTCTCTATCTTTCAGACCAAAGTTATGACAAGAAGCGGGGCTGAGTCTAAAGAAAATCTAGAGCAAAGTGTGTTGATAGAGAACAATGAATCTACAGTAAGACATAGTTTATGTTTACTTGTTTCAATGCAGTCATTATTAAATGTTTCTAAAGAATTTAATACTTTTTTTTAATATGACTAGATTTAAAAAATAAAATGAATACTAAATTGTGTAGTAGTTATCAAGACATTTTGCAATGTGATATTGACTTTATGCAAGCCTTACACACTGTAATATATGCAACATAGTCAGCAGTTAAAAATCTTTACTGTCGGTTTTAAGGTGACTTATCATGAGTTTGTGGGAGGCTGTGGGTGTTTTATGACATGGCTTAGGTAACTTGCCCAGAGTTCAGGGCTCTTATCAGTGGGTGGTTGGGGTGTCCCATAACATCGTAACTTTGCTACATAAATGTCAATTGAGGATGGCTGGTTTGTGGAAGTTGATAACTGGTTTTTGCTTTCAAAATGGGAATGCAGCTAAGCTTATCTTGCAGTTTTTTCCAAGATTGAGAAATGTTGAATCCTACATTTTGTATTCTCAAAATGAATGGTAGTTTTTTTTACAAATGGACAAGGCATGCATCCCAATTTTTTAAAAAATAGTTTTTTCCTATATTCTATTCTTATTTTTACCAGTTTATTGCAGTCCCTTTAAAACAATTTTATTAGGTAATTTTATTAGGTAATTTATATAATCATTTGCAAATTTATTTTTTTCTCTTTTCCTAAAGGCTTTAATAAGTAAAGAGCAGCCAATTTCTATATTAAAAGCATTGTCCATACCAGTAAGTAAATGTGTGATGTCTCATTATCTCAGTAAATATGTGTGTTATGTTTCACTATCTCATTAAATATGTGTGTGATGTCTCACTATCTCAGTAAATATGTGTGATGTCTCACTGTCTCAGTAAATATGTGTGTGATGTATCACTATCTCAGTAAATATGTGTGTGATGTCTCACTATCTCAGTAAATATGTGTGATGTCTCACTATCTCAGTAAATATGTGTGATGTCTCACTATCTCAGTAAATATGTGTGTGATGTCTCACTATCTCAGTAAATATGTGTGTGATGTCTCACTATCTCAGTAAATATGTGTGATGTCTCACTATCTCAGTAAATATGTGTGTTATGTTTCACTATCTCATTAAATATGTGTGTGATGTCTCACTATCTCAGTAAATATGTGTGATGTCTCACTGTCTCAGTAAATATGTGTGTGATGTATCACTATCTCAGTAAATATGTGTGTGATGTCTCACTATCTCAGTAAATATGTGTGATGTCTCACTATCTCAGTAAATATGTGTGATGTCTCACTATCTCAGTAAATATGTGTGTGATGTCTCACTATCTCAGTAAATATGTGTGTGATGTCTCACTATCTCAGTAAATATGTGTGATGTCTCACTATCTCAGTAAATATGTGTGATGTCTCACTATCTCAGTAAATATGTGTGATGTCTCACTATCTCAGTAAATATGTGTGATGTCTCACTATCTCAGTAAATATGTGTGTGATGTCTCACTATCTCAGTAAATATGTGTGTGATGTCTCACTATCTCAGTAAATATGTGTGTGATGTATCACTATCTCAGTTAATATGTGTGTGATGTCTCACTATCTCAGTAAATATGTGTGTGATGTCTCACTATCTCAGTTAATATGTGTGTGATGTCTCACTATCTCAGTAAATATGTGTGTGATGTCTCACTATCTCTGTAAATATGTGTGATGTCTCACTATTCTGTAAATATGTGTGATGTCTCACTATCTCAGTAAATATGTATGTGATGACTCACTAACTCAGTAAAAATGCGCGTGCTGTCCCACTGTCTATGTAAAAATGTGTGTGATGTCTCACTGTCTCAGTAAATATGTGTGTGATGTCTCACTGTCTCAGTAAATATGTGTGATATCTCATTATCTCACTAAATATGTGTGATGTCTCACTATCTCAGTAAATATGTGTGATATCTCATTATCTCACTAAATATGTGTGATGTCTCACTATCTCAGTAAATATGTGTGTGATGTCTCACTATCTCAGTAAATATGTGTGTGATGTCTCACTAAGTAAATATGTGTGATGTCTCACTAACTCAGTAAATATGTGTGATGTCTCACTATCTCAGTAAATATGTGTGATGTCTCACTATCTCAGTAAATATGTGTGATGTCTCACTATCTCAGTAAATATGTATGTGATGTCTCACTATCTCAGTAAATATGTGTGATGTCTCACTATCTCAGTAAATATGTGTGATGTCTCACTATCTCAGTAAATATGTGTGATGTCTCACTATCTCAGTAAATATGTGTGTGATGTCTCACTAACTCAGTAAAAATGCGTATGATATCCCACTGTCTCAGTGAGTTCATCGGACGTCAGCTTTTACCTGAATTAGTTTAGTGCTAGGGTGAGTTCATGCGGTGTCAGCTTGGACCTGAATTCATTTAGTGATAGGTTGATGTAACCAGTGAGATCTATAGACAGCTTGCCCTGTGACAGACCTAGTGCACATTTCTTTCCATTTGAATAAGCACCTTTATATTCCTCCTAACATCTGCATATATTATTCAAAATTCACATTTAGTATTTCATTTGACTACAGCTGTTTGTTACATATTTATATATATATATATATATATATATATATATATATATATATATATATATATATATATATTTATATGTAGCCTACATATGTATATATATTTATTTTTTTATATATTCATAAATATAGGCCTACACAATTATATAAAGACAGTAATGAATCATGAATTGAGCATGTGCTGAATGTAATTATTCTGCATGAGAAAATGTCATAGCAAGATTTAATAAAGTACAGTTGCTAATTTTTTACATTTTTTCAGGGTGTCATTGAGTTTGCACTGTGCTTGTTTTTTGCTAAATTAAATTCATACACATTTTTGTACTGGCTGCCCAACTACATATCAGAAAAAAGTGAGTGCTAAACGTGAAGATTATTTAATACTTAGTCTTTCGTGATAATTAATTATATAGGGTTATTCCTTGTACATTAAAGCAAGTAAGGGCATAGAAATAGAATTCTTATCTGGATCTGTTGCTTATAAAAAATATTATACTCAATGTAGTATCATCTCTGTCATTACAACCACCATTTTCAATTTTATCTTCTGTCTTTACAACCATTATTTTTAATTTTATCTTCTGTCTTTACAATCATTTATTTTAAATTTTATCTTCTGTCTTTACAGCCACTATTTTAAATTTTATCTTCTGACTTTACAAACACTATTTTAAATTTTATCTTCTGTCTTTACAATTATTTATTTTTAATTTTATCTTGTGTCCTTACAACCACCATATTTATCCTCTCTTTACAGCCACTGTTTCGCCATCAGACGCAGCCTACACTTCTACAATATTTGATGCTGGTGGTATCATTGGTAATGTTGCTATGTGGGGTCCAACCATAGTTTATGTTTTCTATTTACCCATATTTAGCAGTTGATAACTAAAAAAATTATGCAATAATATTTTATTTTACTTATAGATGTCTTTCTATTTACTTATAAATACTTATATTTTAAATTTAGATTAGGTAGATGTATTTTATTTACCGACAGATGGCAGTTAATAAATAATTAAAACATTAAATAACCTCAATAAAGTTATTATCATTGTTCCTCTTTGTTTTAATTAATGTACTATTTATTACATTTTGTCATGTTAAATAATGGTAATTCGTATGGAAATGTTTAAAGTAGTAAAGTTCCCTTTTCAAACCTGGTGTTCTATAGGGCAAGTGAAGTAGAGCTCAATTGTTTCTGTGACCTCGGCATATGAAGAGATAGTGTGGTCAGCACTATGCCCAGCCGCTTTTACTTTTCTAACATGAGTTAGGTACCCATCAGAGTTGGGTGGACTCAGGGACGGTATACTGACTTGAACCTGGATTCGAACTCCAGACTTATGGATTAGCAGTCCAGCTCTCTACCGCTAGACCACTCCATACCCAAATGTTTAATACAGGTGGTTAAATTTTTTCTTAACATCTTTTATAGGTGGTGTTTTAGCCGGAGTTATCTCAGACAGATATCGCATGCGTGGTTTGACGTGTGCATTGTTCCTTGTGGTTGCTGCCCCTCTGGTGAGTGATGATCAGTTTTTTAAAACATTATCTGTTGTTAAATTGTGACTTTGTATTCTATTTTAATGCCTAAAAACTTGATGGTAGAAGGTGAGTTAAAATTGATTAATAATTTTAACGTTTAAATGACATTTTACTTTAAGACCTTTTTTTTAGAATGAAATATCAATTTTAAATAAAAATTTAAATCTAGTTATGGTCTAAAATTCTTACTTATAATATATGTAAAATTTTATTCTTGGCAGTTATTTATATATAATCAATATGGAAGTGTTGTACCTTTCTATGCAAATTGCCGTAAGTTTCTAAAATTTCCTTTTCTGTATTATTTTATCAGATGTGTAATTTTTTTCTTACGATGGAAAATTTGATTCATGTTGACTGAAGTTATGTTTCAGTATTTTAAGCTGTGTGTAGCAAAGGTGTGAATGGCCCTTAGGATTTTAAGTCAATACAAATTATATTTCAGTAATGTTGGCTGTATGTGGGATAGGTGTGAATGGCCCTTATGCTTTTAAATCAAATTATATTTAGTTATGTTGTTGTCTGTTTAATAGGTGTGAATGACCCTTAGGATTTTAAGTCAATACAAATTATATTTCAGTTATGTTGGCTGTCTGTGGGATAGGTGTGAATGGCCCTTACAATTTTAAATCAAATTATATTTCAGTTATATTTGCTGTATGTGGGATAGGTATGAATGGCCCTTATGATTTTAAATAAAATTATATTTCAGTTATGTTGGCTGTATGTGGGATAGGTGTGAATGGCCCTTAGGATTTTAAGTCAAGACAAATTATATTTCAGTTATGTTGGCTGTCTGTGGGATAGGTGTGAATGGCCCTTATGCTTTGATCACAACAGCAGTGAGTGCTGACCTAGGGACACACAAATCTGTCCGGGGAAATGCTAAAGCTCTAGGCATGGTCACTGCCGTCATTGACGGTACAGGAAGTATAGGTGATTATATTTTTATCAACACAATTATAACTGTGTTAGAATATATTTACATTTTTATAAATACATATCTTAACAGTAGACTTTAATTTTCAAATGTATATCTCTTTTTTATTGATTTTGAATGTATAAATATTTTATGGACATCAGTTAGCCATTTATGATGTCCATAAAGAAATTTTTATGTGTTAAAATAAATAAAATTTTATATAAGAATAAATACATGGTGTTATATTTTCAACATTTGTATTACTAAATTATCTGTAATCAGATGCAAAGTAGTATACATAAAAAAAGGTGTGGATGTTATAAATTTATGTTTCCCACTGGGGATGGATTTTCCAACTAAATTCTTCTGTAAATAAACCGATTCACATTTTTAAACAACTTTATTTTCTGTTTAAAAAATTAGCGAAATGATAATCATCATGTTTGACTTTTTTACTCAGGTGCTGCTATAGGTCCCATGTTGACAGGAGTTGTCTCCTCCACTGGATGGGAAAATGTTTTCTACATGTTGATAGCAGCAGATTTGGTTGCAGCTCTTGTAAGTATTTCTGCCTGTTTAACCCTTGCATGACTGCAACAAGTTTCTGATATAAGTTTTAAGTTTGTTTAACTCTTTAATCACTGTAAGATGTTCAGTGTACTGGAAATAATAACTCTGTTTAACTCTTTAACTACCACTGTGGTGCAATATGGTACAGGCTGCAACAGTTTTACTTACAAACCTCCTGGAAAAATCAATTTTCATAAACAATCTTTTCCTATTTTACAACTAAGAAAAAAGATCATGGGCAACTAATTTGTTATCTTTTTTCTAAATATTACAAAGCACATTTTTTACGAATAATTTTTACAACTTTTTAAATAGGTTTTTTTTTTACCATAATTTGTATAAAAATATGTTGATACTGAACAAATTTTAACTATTTTTGCTATTTTTTCAGTTGCTGATACGAGTTGTAATCAAAGAAATTTACCAAAGAAGAGGTGGCGAGTTGGATATCAGAGTTGTCATTTTACCAAAAAGTAATGAGCAATAAGTCACACACATTTTTATTATTAATTATTTTACAATCAGAATTTTTGGGTTTTAAGGATTTTTTAAAGTTACCCAATAAAAGTTTGTAGGAGAATATCTTAAAATAATGCAATTTTAACATTAGACCACTTCTTAAAATAATTTTTAGGTGGTCAAAAGGTATAATTATGATAGATTGATAATTTTAAGTAAACTATTTTTAAATTGACACAAAGTTTTTAAAAAACTACTTTAATATTTTACTTTGCTTGCTTTAAAAATAAATCTTAGTTCTGGTGCTTTATTTCAAGGTGAAAGCTTTTTAAACTTAGAACTATTTCTAAAATAATTTCATTAAGCAGTTTTAACCTACTCACATAACTGTAGATATTTTTTTAAGTTTAAAGTAGCCATCACATCTTCTATCATATCTATTACTAAATTGCCCATACTGTTTTAAAACATTATGTGTGATGCTATTACATAATCAAATAGCTTTATAGCTACTCTTATTTCCCAAATGTTACTATAGTGATTAGGGAAATTTTTACATTCTAAATTAGCCACATAGTATTTTGCTAATAAAGCCAATGAGACGTAATAAAATAATATCAGGACAAAGCAAAATAATCAAGTTAGACTTTGCCTAAGAACTTCTTAAGTTAACTAAATTTTACTATCACTTAATTTATTTTCTCTATGCAGCACTGTGACTTGCTTTGTTTCATTTTTTTTTTTTTTAATCCAGTGACAAGGTTTAGGATTGTAAGTTTTGGGCTTATAATTATATTCATCTTTGGCTTTATATTTCATAAATATTCATAACATGAGGCACTGTGGGATCTTTCTATGATTTTATTTAAAACCACACCATTTTATGTTGCATTTATTTTACTGTCCTGTTGATTTGTTGTTACATTAACAAATTATCTTTGTATAGATTGTTTCAGACAATTGACCCATATAAAACAAATCATTTAAACAAGTTAAAAAAAATTATGTATTGCCTTACATCTAATAACATGAATATTTGGCTTATTATTTATTTTTTGGCAATGCATTCTGGGAAATTTTATTTATTTATTTTGTTTAGTTTTTGCTTGTAGTACTGCTTAAATTTTTACTGTAATCTAGTGATACAAATTAATTACATGATTTAGTTAATTACAGAAATAAAAACAAAAATCGTGGCAGATGGTATTTTAAAAATATTAAAATAAAAATTGCAGTCATAATTTAATTCATGCATTCATTTATTGAAAATATTTTAAAAGCAAAGGTAAATCAGTTTTATCACATAAAAAAATATTTTTAAATATTTATAACTTGAAATGGAGTTTTGATGTACAAGGAAGTTAATAGTACTGTAGGGTTTGATTTCTACAGTTGCTTGATCTATTTCTGCAGTGAAATAGAATATCGAAAACAATTCTTGCTTAGAAGAATAGGAGAGTAGTATTTTATAAAGGTCAGAAAATATAGGCTTAATATAAAAATTACTGTTATGAGCTGATTTAATACTGCTGCTTCAACTGGTAACTGCTACCTAAGTATTCATGTATATAAATCTTCTTAATTTTGAATCCTCATTAGAACAGCCATTTTATTTCTAAAATAGAATGTTAATATACTTAAAATAAATAGGTATTTAAAGGAATTAATGTACAAGGTGCCTTCATTGAGAAAAAAATAAAATAAATAGAAAATACTTTATTTTGAGTTTTTTTACGAGTTAACTTAGCACATTATATTTTCTAATCCGAACAAAGATTATAATGTCCTTTTTTTTCTCTGTTCTATATACTTAACTCACTTCCTCAGTACTAACTCATTAACATAGGTCTAGCTTTTCCTTAACGGTTAGGTCGACGGCTAACACTGCAGGAAAACAATAACATAATGTTTTAATTTTAATCTATTTATACTAGTGGCTTTTTAGTTGATACCAGTCATATAGCTCAACTTTTAAAGAATATCTTTTTGAAGTTTGAAATTTTAAATTTGTCTTAAAATTGATCAATATTTGTGTGCTCAATTTTTTATTATTTTATGAATATTTAAAAAATTACTTACTTTATAACTTTAGTAAAGCATATATTTTTAATAAAAGTTTATTGCTCATAATATTTTATATGTACTTAGCTCAATGTAAAAATAAATTAGTATGGACTAATTAAACTTAAAAAATATTTACTGTATAGCATGCTTTACTCCTGTGGGATTTTGTTCTGTTGAGTTGGTTATTTAACTGGTAAAATTGTATTTAAAGAATCAATGTACAATATTTATTTAACTTTCTTGAAATGGAAACCTGTTTTTACATTTTTATTTTTTAAAAAAAGTTTAAAAGAATTCCTGCTGTCTTGTATTGTTTCCTTACTTACATGTAAAGAAAATTTTAGTTTACATAATTTTAGTATCTTATACACTCCAATTCCGGTTAAGTTTTTACTACCTGTCATTAAATATTGTGTTTTGATTGGTAAAATGATATTGCTGTGTTTTATTTTACATAGATCTATGTATAATCTGTTAAACGTATTGATTCCCGTTAAAATAAATTTGATTTTGTAGACCACACTTCCTTACTTTCTATATTAGTTTATTTAAATTCTAGTTTAATGTATAGTTTTGGCTATTTATTTTCATTATGTGTATTACAATATAGGCCAGCTCTCACTACTGTTAGTAACTGGCTCATGTGAGTTCTATAAACTTGTAAAGTCATTATTATGTTGCTTTATGTGTATATTTGTTATTAGATTTCTTTCTGTAACTAATACTGTAAAAAAATGTATTCCCATTTTAGATATCTGTTTTAGGTGTTTGCTAATTTATTCACTTTAAAAGCTTATTTCTATATATATAAACAAAAGCTTAAAGAAATAAACACATCAAATAATGCTGCAACCTTAGGTCTCTAATAGAAAAGACAAAGAAAGTAAAATGAAAATATTTAAAGGATCAGCTTTGTAACCCATCCAGCAGAAGCTGATACAGGATTCTAGTGAAGGCCTAAGGTTGAAACACCATTTGTTGTGGTTATACTTTAGTGTGTTTTATTAATAAATAGCATCTCTTGTTTTCATATATGGTTTTAGTTCAATGCACAAATGTATTTATTACATTTTTAGCTTTTGTCTATAAAATTTTATTTTTTAACTTAAAGAATTTATTAACCTTGGTTAATTAAAATGATTTTGATTGGTATTCCAAATTCTGATTTTTGGCATACTTCTAAAATAAATAATGTTCTTGTAAAATATATGTTCATTTATAAACATTTGTTCAATGGGGTGTTCATAAATAATTAATGTTAAACTCCTTGGGAGGGGGAGACTTATGTGATTATGTATGATGAGGGGCTTATACATTTTAAAACCAGTTAGTAATTTTCCAAAACTACTTGGCAGTTATTTAGATATTTTTTTAAAGACTTATGTATTTTATAAAAATATATCAACATACCTTATTTTGACCCTGCTTTATTATTAATTTAGAAAGAAATTCCTGTTTTGAAAAAGTGATGTTATTATCTGGGTTGGGGGGAGTGTTGTAAAAAGTCTGTGGGTAAATCCTTACCCCTAATTACTTAATATAATATATATTTTAGAGTATAAAAACTTATTGAATGTGATACATTCATTCCTCTAGTCTTTCAAGCAGGCAGTGATCCTCAGCGTTTTAAGTTATGATTTGCTTCATTTATGCTTGTCAAAGATTTTATTTATAAGATCCTTTTATTTAGAATAAAATGTTTCTGCAACGGCGTAATCACTTGTGGCATGTGACTTTTTAAAATATTTTCCCCAGTGATGTTAAATTGTTTTTTAACCCTTTTGCTGTGTCTTTATATTCTGGTGAAAAACCCTACATAATTTTGACATTCTGTTACTTATATTTGTGCCTCAATTGCTGTAAATATAATTACAGTTTCTCAGACTGCCTTATTTGACTTCAAAAAACACACACTAAAATATATTGTGATTAACCCAACAAATTTACTATTTAAAATATCTTGACAATATATTTCTAGTTCTACTCACCTTGGTACCTACATTCAGTAAAGTATTAAATGCTTTACTGTAACTAAATATTGTATTATTTTCAAAGTACTAATATGTTCCCCAGTATATTAAACAATGCATGACCATGTTCCAATTACCAAAACACCAGGCCAGAAGGGGTTAATGTTCAACATTACAATCCTACATTGTCAAGCCTAAAGGGGTTAATGTTGTATATTACAACATAACACTGTGGTAGGGTTTGTTGCAATTTTTTTGTTGATTGATATTATAAATGTTGACTATGCTTGAATTCATTCCATTGTCCTTTATGCTTTAGAAATACTTTTTAATACTTTTATAGATTTGTACAGTTGAATGTTTTGTTATATAGGCCTATATATATATATATATATATATATATATATATATATATATATATATATATATATATATATATATATATATATATAAAATTTTAATTTGTTTTATAAAATCTGTTTTGAAAAGTGAAAATGAAATGTTTTTGTGAAAAATGCAAATAGATACATGATTTGACTTGACTTTGAATTAGTTCTCTTTGCTCCTTGTGGAACAGAGGGACTTAACCATACCCTTTCATTTTGTCCAGTCACCGGTTATTAATGTCTCCCAAGACATCCCTGCTGTCTTGATTTTTTCTAGAAGACTCCACCTCCAGGTCTGTCTTCCACTTTCCCTCAAGCGCCTGATGTCTTATTAGAGTGAGCCTTTCACAGTGTGTGTCCCACATTGTCATGGGGTTCTGCGTTGTCCTTCTCCATAAGTCTATATAATCGGCACTTTGTCCTGCTGCCTTAATTTTAAAATCTGTCAAAGACATCTGTTCATGAAGGTCTGTATCTTTTCTGTGCTTGCTTTCAAGACTCTCCTTGTCTCTGTTCCATATAGCAAAACTGTCTTGACATTTAAATTTATTATCCAAATTTTTGGTTGTGAGATATATGATATGATACAACGTTAGACCGATGAATGAAAGCTTAAGTTGACAAATGAGAAAAATATCAGCTAGTGTTGACAGTGACAAATGACCAATGGCAATTGTTGATAAATTATGTGTATGAACAAAAGCTTGTGTAATCAGAGGACAATAAAAACAAGCTAATGAAGACAGATGACCCATCTATAAGCAGATGACCATGAAGAAAGGTTAAATGAGCATTTGTAAAGATGTTGGAAATCCAAATTAGTTAGGTTTGTTTATGACTATTTTTTGTTAATTCACAAAACTGTTAACTGTTATCGTAACTAAAAATTATATTTGTTCTGCTGTGAGTGTAAATACAAAGTATAGACTTGTTTAGCTTTTCAGTGATTCTGAGAATTACCTCAAGTTTATATGAATGCTTGGTTGCCTGAATTATCTTTTATAACACTGTGGGTTACTCAATAAGGATAAAAATGCTTGCTTTTGTTGCTTCTAAAGATGGACAACTGAGATGTTTGGGTGAAATAAAATTATTTTGGTTATTTCCCTTGCCTTTTTTTGTTGTGTTGTTGAATCAACTTGCTACACTGATAATTTAAATTACTAAAATTTAAGGTTCATAGTAGCATTTTCATTTAATTCCTATAGCTGTTATGTTAAAAGCAAAGAATTGGTGCAGTAAATGGTGATTTGTTCAAGAGCACTAGCATGGTCTAGTGCTAGACTGCTAGCCCAACAGTCTCAGGTTTGAACCCTGGTTTACATCAGTAGAACATCCCTGAGTCCACCCAGCGCTGATGAGTGTACCTCACACTTTATGGAAAGTTAAGACGGCTTGGCATAGTGCTGATCACACTATCCCTTCATATGCTCAGATCACAGAAACAGGCAAACTCTACTTCACTTAACCAATGGACCGTCAGGTTTGAAAAGCGAACTTTACTTTGAGATCTAGCACATAAATCTTCAGGAAGATATAACTAACAGCCTCAATTGTTTTAAAATATTAGCATCACATTGACTTCTTTAATAATCTATCAGCAAATCACTTGGTGCCTTTCGAGTTCATAGTTACAACAATCTTTAAATTACATGCTTGTACAAGTATCAAGAAGTTAATAAAGTTTTAAAATCTAGTATCACGGAAGTTTCGTCCCCATAGTACGGGAGTTAGAATTTTAACATTGATTTTAATCCAGCAAAATAAACAAAATAAAAACACTATTGAAAGACAACACAAAGAGAAATTATACATTAAAAAAATTTGACGAATTTATTGAATCAGTTACAGAAATATATTAAGGGCAGTTTTTTTTTTTAAGTTACCATACACAACAAGTAAAACTGCATTCACCCTATATCTTTACAGTTAAAAGTTAAGACTCAAAATTCATAAGTTAGAATTTCCACCAGTAACCCTGTCCGGGATTTTGTAACTAGCTGATGCCTTCAGTACATCAATTTAAAAAAAAATATATCAGACAAACTGACAGCAGACATTGAGATCTTTGTGCGAGATCAAGCTACTGAAAAACAAAGGCCAAGGGGAGAGAATTTAAAAGGTCAGAAATATCAAGGGGAAGATAAGTCAAGACTAAAAATGTACAATTCAGAAAAGAATTTCTAAATTCTACATGCCAATTTCAAAATTAATACAAGAAGCTAAATTTGTATATTAAAAAAGTATTAATTTAAATAAAAATAGCACAATATATATTTTTTTTTTTAAAGAATTATTTCAAGTGATGAATGGAAATGAAAAAAACTTTAAAACAACCTAACATGCTGGTCTACGATAAATTCAAGGCCCTAATGATGATGGAGAAACCATACAAATTATTATGCACACAAAACCATTCACTGACAATAAGCAGCTAAGATAACTAAACACACATTCACAAACACAATAGTAAATATAACACCAAACACACTCAGTGTCAGGTCATGTGTAGGAGCCAAGCCCACATTTTGTTTTAGAAAATGTACAAAGATTTAAGTAGAAATAATTGGCCTTCAATCATTCATAGTTACAGTTTTAGTAAAAACCTTGTAGGGTTTTCTAAATACCATTTCTCAACAAAACAATTCAGTGTGCCCTGTAAGATCGGGTCAACACAAGAAATGCATTTTTTTAAAACTAGATATTTTGTTATTCTTTCTTTAACTTGTTCAAAGATAATATCAGGGATTAACATGAAACATTTTTTTCTCCATGAATAAAATGGATTTCCATTTTTACTTCATAAATAAAATATGAAAAAAAAAACTCAAGTCAATAAAATATAAAAACCAAATTGCACACGGTTTAAAAAAAAAACATCCCCCCTCCCCTTCCCCCCAGCCCTACCTGACAAAAAATTTCAAATACATAAAATCTTATGTACAATGGTTTTGATTTTATACATTGGTACACATTTCTTTCTACATACACATCTTTATGTACACATTACAAAAGCGTATATAAATTTGTACACATTTTACACACAAACTGTTGCACGTGAATAAATGCAATAATGGCCTGCCTGGGTAACAATGGCTTGCTATTGCACATACAATTGTTAACTGGTTGTCAAGGCATTGTTATTTACAGTTCTATAGTAAAAAATAATTTAGCTAGATGGAAATTAAGACTTGATGCTAACATACAGGTTAGTAAAATTCTTTGACAAGGTAGCTCAGCACTTTAACACTCCAACATTGGAAGACTGCTGGATGGTGTGTAGTGTGTAGTTTAATGGGTTAGTATTTTAATGATGGTGTGTAGTGTGTAATTTACTGGGCTAAAGTTTTGTTGATGATGTGTAAAGTTTAGTTATTGAGCTTGTGTTTTAATTATGTGTAATGTGTAGCTCACTTGGCTAGTGTTTTAATTATGTGTAGTGTGTAGTTCACCCTCAGCTTATGTTTTAATGATAATGTGCAGCTCACTGGGCTAGTGTTTATTGATGATGTATAGTGTGTAGTTGTGTTACTATGTGAAACCCAATTCATTTGTTCCTCTTTGTTTTATACAGCCATGGTTTCAGATAACCTCTTTTTAAGTAGTTTTTTCCCTCATGGTTAGCTTCTCTTTGCTGAGAGAAATCAACTGAACAACTGACCAATGGCTTCACTCTTCTATAGATAGAAACAATGCTGTATAAATGGACTAAGTGATTTTAGAACTGTCTTGTACTTCTAAATCATTTCTGTGTTCCATAAAACGGCTTTGGGCCAAGCCTTAAAGGCTGGCTGCTCGCAGAACTTCCAGTTGAGTTTTGGCCACTGGTTCCTGATGAAATCTGGCCACCTCCAACATTGCCAGATAGGATTTGGTCTTCGCCAGTTAGTCCAAGCAGATTTTGGTAAACTGGACCAGTGCTAGATGAGCTGGGGCCAACTATACTTTGGCCAACTTGACTGGCATTAGATGAGCTGGGGCCAGCTATACTTTGGCCAACTTGACTGGCATTAGATGAGCTGGGGCCAGCTATACTTTGGCCAACTTGACTGGCATTGGATGAGCTGGGGCCAGCTATACTTTGGCCAACTTGACTGGCATTGGATGAGCTGGGGCCAGCTATACTTTGGCCAACTAGACTGGCATTGGATGAGCTGGGGCCAGCTATACTTTGGCTAACTTGACTGGCATTGGATGAGCTAGGGCCAGCTATACTTTGGCCACCAGAGCTATACGGGATCTCTAGGCTCAGTCTCATACGGTTCATCCTTCTTGGTTCACTAGGGTCTGGGGACATAGTTGGGGAGTCTGAGGGTGGTGTCTCCCCCTCAGGGGGCTCAAACACTAACCTCAGTTCTTTAATGCTGTTTCTGCGTTCAGATTTTCTGGGTGATGTGGGCGGGGTGGTTGAGTTATTTGAAACGGGCGAGACAAATGAAACGGAAGACATGCTCTTTCTTGTTTCTTTACCGTCTTGTGTTTTGATTGGGTCAATGTCTTTTTTTTTATCCGTGCGTCTACGTGTCACAATGGGTTGTGAAGGCTGCTGTGGCGCCGAGGATTCTTTCGAAGAGGTGGCAGCGAACCTGACAGTGGCTTCTGTTTGGTGGGAGGTGTCAGACTCGGATGTTGATGACTCGCTGTATGTGCGTGGTTTAGAGTTGCTGCGGTAACGGGGCGGGCGTGAACCTCTCAAGGCCACTGGTTCTGAGTGAGTGGATGATTGGAGTTTTTCCTTCCCAGCAGGGGAGGATTTTCTCTTGGCCACAGCTGGGCGCGCCCTGTCTTGTGAGCATGTTCTTAACACAGGTCCCGGTTTGGCTTGCGGCTGAGAAGAAGAGATTTCCGTTTCCTTAACATTAACATCAGACATGTCATAAGGTTTAGGTGTTTGGGGTGAATGAGTGGATTTAGATGGAGATGAAGGAAGAAAGCTGTCATCAGCAGACTCTTGATCAGGCTTGCCCACCTCCAAACAAGGGGTCAGTTGACCAGCCTGTCCGAGCAGTGATCCAGAGTACGTCCGGTCTCTGTGTCTGGTGCCAGGGCTCCCGGAGCTGTCTGAGACGTTGGAGTCGGAGCCGCGCTCAAACAAGTCCATCAGGCTCTGCATCTTGTGTGAGCGTTTGATGCGCAGCGACCCAGTACACAGAACATACATCCTCTCATCGCCCTCCTCCTCGGGAATAAACAGATCATGACGCTCCGCAGCCAGCTGCAGCACTGAGTCGTCCAACGAAGACCGGCTGCCCACCATGTCGGAATACTGAGCACAATTGTTTTCCTGCTTACAAAACGTCATGTGAGGATCGTCGAATTTTGAGCGCCGCGGAAGTGATTTAGAATCGTAGTGAAATTTTCTTTTGGCAACTGGAGGAGGCGTTTTTTTTTCTACGAGCTCCTGCCTCACCTCCGGGTAGGAATGGTTTTCTACAACTTGAGAGAATCTTAGACGAGAATCTCCCGGAAGCCTGTCAGACATGGTGTCACTGTTGTCAAACACGCTGTCAGAATTATCCTCATGCTGGACAGGTTCTGCCAGCTGTCTGGGTGGCTGGTTGACTTTTTTTGAATTGACAGTTTGTATTTTCTTTTTCAGCTCTGGCTGTGACTCGATAACCAATTTGGCACCAGGTTTATCTGGCATGTCTTTCACTATCAATGTTTTTTTTGTATTTGATGATGCTTTTTCAGCTTTGGTGGAGTTTTCTCTCTTCACCGACTGCCTTGTAATTTCTATGACGTCATCTACGGGCGGAGCACCATGAGGGCTGCAGCTGACTTTCCTAGGTTTGGGGATGGGGCTGGGTATCTTGCTCTGTGACTTGCTGACACCAAGCCCGGAGGCTTCTGACTGGGGGCTGGGAACACGATGTGACAAAGGAATGCGTGATGATTTACTGTCAGATGACGGCTTAGTGTCGGCGACTCTTGATCTTGGGCTGGTAGCTGATCTGGATGATGCGACGGCTTCAGACCGACTGTTAGAGAGCTGGGTACGCGTGGTGGTGGAAGATGTTTGGAAGTCTGTGATTTTTGTGTCTGAGGATCTTCGGTTGTGCCCTAGGCGTTTTCCCCCTCCGGCACCAGAAGCTTCAGAGCCTCTTCTCGCATGAGCGGCTTTAGCAGTTGGGGTGAGGTCTCCGTGCATGGAGGAGGATCTCCCACTGGGTTTCGTGTCAGAATTGGGTTTGGGCCGCGGTATTTTGGAGAAGGATGTTTTACGAATGGGCGTGCCAGTGTCGCTGCCAGTAGGGGTTAGGCTGTCGGATGTCGACGACCTGGTGTCTAACCCGTCCCTGACATCTGGTGACATGAGGATCTCCTTGCCTTGATTCAAGACATTCTCCACCTCACACAGAACATCCTGACTGTTGACGTTACTACTGGACCTTTGACAAGCCTCACCGTATTCCGAATTCTTCGGAGCTAGTAAATTGTTCTCGGTTAAAAAATTAGGTGAGTTCAAGTCAACCACCAGCTTGTTACACAAATTGTCCACCTCCATTGCCACATCTTCGTAATTAAAAGTTCTCCTGGCTTCTTCAGACCGCCGTGGTGGCCTGAGAGGTCTCATGCTGACCACTTCATCATTGACCAACACCTCAGACTGTCCCTGAGAACTCTGCCTTAAGCTCCCAGTCATCAAGTCCCGTCCATCAGAGAAGCCACTTGCCTGGTCGGCTATGCAGTTCTCTGTGCTGGATTTCTTTAAGATTTTTTTACTTTCCATAACGATGTCAGTGGTGGTATGTACCTGAGGCAATGACGGCGATGGGTGGATGTTCACTGGGTGGCCGGATATGGCTGCTGGAATGTCCATGGAGAACTCATCGGGGTGGTATAAGGCTAACTGCAATGGCACATTGACCACTTCATTGTCAGGTGGCTGGGTGGTTGACTGAACAACATCGGGTAATGCTTCTCTGATAGGGCTTCTCATGGCCCCCAGGCTGGAGTCTGGTGACTGCAGGCTGCTGTTGGATGACTCCCTGCTCAGCCTGGCTCTCTGGCTCATGAGCCCCACCGCGCACAAGCTGGACATGCGCTCGTCCATCTGAGAACCATCTAAAAATAGATTGTCCTCGCTGACTCGGCCTGCGAGTTCACCCCGAGGGGACTGCTGCTCCACCCTAGGGGAGTGTTGCCTCCTCACCACCTGGTACGGTGAAATGTCCTCTAAGGGCAGATCAACACTCAGGGATCCTAAATTCCTTTGCTCTCTCATATAAAAGTTACTGGAAGAATACTGGGGACTAAGTGAAGACGGTGGGATACTCTCCATATTTTGTGTGAACACATCCTCGTCAGGGAAAGCAACCTCATCTTCCTCAGGGGAAGCCACCTCGTCAAATTCTTCAGAATTATTGGATGAATTAGAAGACGATGAATCTGACCTATTTCTACACATATTCGCAATGTCACAGCGACCGTCCGCACTGTCAAGGCCAAAGTGGGTTTGAACAAGGTGAGGCCCTGTCAGATTACTCTGAGGCTGGTTGACTGTGTCCCTGGGGTCTGGGGATGAATGAGAAGGTGAGCAATCTTCTTGCGTTCTTAGATAAATACTGCTGGTTGTGCTGGACGAGGTAGTCAATGAATTATAGTTGATGAACGACTCGCTGAGCTCAGCGCTGGAGAGATTGGAGGATTTCAGTTTTCTGGCTGTCTTGGGTGGGGTCTGTACCTCAGGACTAGAGTGAGATGGATCTACAGACGGTGCTGCCACCACCAACAGTAGCTCTACATTGGCTTGGGTTGGGGTCATGGCACAGTCATCCATAGAAAATTGATCTTCCCGAATCTTAACGCTTGAACTGGACTCGGCAAAAGACTGGGAGGTCAGCCTGACATCGGAGCTGGAGGTTGTTAGGTCAAGGTCGGAGGCAACAAGCCTGTGAGATCCTGTTAGGCCGGGGTCATGTTTAAATGCAACGTCCATTTGGCGGTTGATTTCCCTTAGAGTTCTGCTCATGAGGTGGTCAGTTTCTGTCAGGCTATCTAGGCTCGTGCTGCGTCTTCGTCGGGGGTCCTCCACCTTCAACCTTCCGCCTTCCTCCATCAGGCCGTTACTGAAGCTATTTATAGACGTGGACAGTTCGCTGATTGTGACAGATGACATCATGTCGGACTGGCTCTCTGTGACATTCTCCAACGACCTGGCAATGTCGCTGGGGACGCTCAGACACTTACTCATCCCTGAGCGCAGGGTCGCTTTCTCTTCAAGGATGCAGAGCTTGGAATCAAAGCTCGGAGAGTTACTGGACAGAGGGGACTGGTGGCGGGGGGAGTTGTTGGACAGTGGGGACTGAGTTCTGGGGGAGTTTCTAGACTGGGGGGACTGGTGGTGGGGGGAGCTGCTATTCATCTGTGAATGATGAGATGAAGACTTCGTCCCCTGCATGTAATCTGCACGACGATCAGACTGAGATTTGGATGGAGTCGGGGGCAGTTTCTGATCGGTGCCTTCCAAAATGTGTAGCAGGTCTTGAAGGTTCTCTATATCCCTAGAAGTTGCCCCTGAACTGGGGATAAACTCTGCATGGCGTCGGACAACTCTGGTAGAGTTACCCTCCCCTTTCGAAGAGTTACTATCTGCACTGTGGTAGATTTTTGTGCTACCCCGAGAAACTTCTACTCGTCTTCTCCCAACAGCCGTAGCCCCGGCTGCTTTGTTATCTTTCAAACATTTCTCTTGCTCTCCTAAACCCAGAAGCTCCTTAACGCTTGCCATCTCCCTGGGTGAGCTGTTACCCGTAGCTGGGAACTCCGTTTCTTTTGAAGGAGTTGTGGGGGTGGGGAGATTGACAGAAAACTCCGTTTCTTTTAAAGAACTGGATGTGGTTGTTGTAGTGGTTTGTGTGGAGAAGTCTGTTTCTTTGCTGAATTTGGTTTCATCTCCGACGCGGTAGTTGGAGGTGTCGCCGATGCCGTGTCGAGGGAAAAGCATGGCGTTCATTGCCAGCCTGGTGTCGATCTGGTCAAGCACCTCCTGCATGTTGCAGCCTGAGCTGGACACGGACATGGTACCTTGGCTGAGGGGTGTTCCGGCCAAGCCTGCGTCATCGTCCGAGAGGATTTCTGCGTAGTCGTGGAAACGAGAGTAAAACTGCCTCATTCTGCTGTCATGGTCATCGTTGTCATACGGGCTTCTGTCTTGTCCTCGTTGTAATCCAGGCGAGGTTAACGAACCTTTCGCTTTCTTCTGACCCACGGGGGAAGACTTAGCGCTCCTTTTAAGCGGAGAGGACGCCAGCTCTTCGCTAGACTTAACAGACCTGGTTTTCTCTGCCACTTTCATCAGGCGAGAGTTAATGGCATCATCGATGTTGACATCGCCGAGTTTCTCACACTTGGGGTAGATGATATCCTCCAAGCTGATGTCCATGTTGTCCTCGCTCCCTGAAGTTTCACCCCCTTTGGTGGGGCTCCTCCTACCCTGGCGTGGGGTGTTGGGAGCCGATGGGATACGTCTGTGTAATGCCTTGCGAGTTGAATCTCCACGAACAAAGGACTGTCGAGATTCATCATGGCCACCTGCAGATAGAAACATTAACTTCAGCAAACATGAATTTTTAAAATCAGGTTAAAAACATATTATCATTTAACAAAGAAAAAAACATAATCGATTTTTTAACTTATATGATTATTTGTTGTGTTTAAAACAGACATGTAAAAAAAGCAGCAAAGTTGTATTGAAGTTTTAAATGCAAAAAGAAATTTCAATTTCTTTCATTGAATTTGAATAAATTTCAAACCCTCAAGTTAAGGTTAAGACAAATTATAGATAACAGGTTTTTAATTTTGATAAACAAATTTGGACATCAAAATTAAATACATTTGATTGCTAAATGTAATTTTTAAAAAACAAAAAAAAAAGATTATTTCTATAACAATCAGAATGAGTTTTCAAGAATTATTATTTTTATCTGACTTGTAAGTGTATTGGATATATAGTCTATGTTGTAATGCTATTTATGTAATTCTGAGCATTGTATAGTTCATTAAACAGAAATAGCTAACAGCTGAGAAAAGTTACTGAAGCAATATTTACCATTTTCACCTTGATCTTGCATGAGCTGACGCTGGCGAAGTACAGCAGGTGCGTCAGATGACAGAGATCTTTTATGTGACAGGTGAAATGAGCTTTGATGTGCTGTAAGGAAATAGAATTTTGATATTTGAATCATTTGTAGAAAAATATATACATTACCACAATTTATGTTACGTCTTCCCCAAACTAAAAAACACTATGAAAGTTTTCAAAAACTTTTTCTAATTAGCTGTCTTCTAAAAGCTAATTGCTTTTATAAACCTGAATTCATACTTTTATTAAATAATTTTTGCAGAAAATGGGAGTAAAAGGGTTAGCCTTTAGGGAACGTTAACCCAATGAATTACAAGTTTCATTAAAAATTTAACATAACCCTGTTAGATTAGCCTTCCACCCATTTATTCACATTGCTTGGATTCACTGATGAAAACTTAGCCCTAACCCTAAGGTATGGTACATCTAATCCAACAGTCCTACTGTACATTAGTTAAGCCAGCTGACCTTTGGTTGGTGTGGGTAAGGAGTCCTGCCTGACACTGGCCTTGCCCATTGCTGTGTCAGTGTTGCTGCGCGAGGTCCTGCTGCTGGTGCTACCACATGAGGACGCCGTGTTGGTCAGGGAGAACAGGGACTCGGCACTCTTGGCACTGCGCAGGTGCCGCTTCCAGTTGTAAACATCCTCTTCAGTCAGTGCCTTGCCTGGTGCAACCAGGTTTACAGATTCTGGGGGTTAAAGCTTTATCTTAGACAACAATTTTTCATATCTTACTCAATTGAAACAGATTTCTAGTAACATTTGTGTGGCCCATTTTAATGTCCATCTACCATTAAATTTCCCCATTCAATGAAGCTGGTGTCTGGTGGAGCTGGGTGGGGCTAGATGGAATGGGGTGGAACTGAGTGGAAGATGGAATGGGGTAGGGCAAGATGGAATGGGGTGGAACTGAGTGGAAGATGGAAGTGGGTGGAGCTAGATGGAATGGGGTGGGGCAAGATGGAATGGGGTGGAACTGAGTAGCATCACATGAAACGTGGAGATGGGTTGAATAGGCTGGAGTTGGGTGGAACTGTGTGGATGGATTGCTAGGGGGATTTTATAGAATTGGTTGAATAAAAGGAAAATGTAGGAGAAACTCAAATCAGCAGTGAGGAATGTGTAGCTACTTTAATTTATAAGAAGGAAAAAAAGGGAGAATAACCTTTAAAATAAAAGTGGCAGTGTTATCTATTGTAAAGCTAACCATAAACTAGCTATCACTAATAACTAACCTTGACTAGGCTTGCGGTTTTTCTTCACACTGCCACTCCTGGGCTTGGAGAAAATAGACTTCCAGCCCCCACTGCCAGTGGTGCCACTGGATGCCTTCTTGGACCCTGACACTGGCTTGTTCTCTTTAGATGAGCCCTGAGATTTTTTCCTGTTGAACATTGAATGCCTCAGTCAAATATAATCTATGCTTAACACAACGATACAGAATACCATCTAGGCTTAACAGAAAGCAAAAAAATGCATACTTCAAAATTTTTAAATAAAGTACATCAGACTTAGGCTTAAGTAATCATAAGTAAAAACTATGTTTCTGTTTACTGATGATTGTAATTAGTGGTCAATAGACCTATTTTACTGATGTAGACTAAAAGTAATGTTTCAATTAAAAGCTACTTTAAATATGAGTTTTGACTGGGAGAAATTTGATATGATGCAGCTATGGAAATCCCCAAAAGTGTTTTTGTCACATTCAAAATACAACATATTTTATTAGTTTTTCAGTTCAATTGTTTTTTAATCTGGTGAAAACCTAAGTAGAAGCATCATTTGTTGTAATAAATTTGTCTGGCTCTTTGCTTTGTGTAGTTTAAATGTATGATTCTGAACTTGGTCTGTTGTCTCTATTACAAATATTAGTCCATAATTTATTACACCCAACAGCATTTAGGACAAGTAAGAAAATATTTATTTCCTATATACTAATTATTTCCCTGTAATCTTGAGTTACTCCCCTTTCATCTAGAGTTACATCCCTGTAAGCTAAAGTTATTTCCCTGTGAATTAAGTTTCCTATAAACCTACTTGTATCCTGGGAGATCAATAACAGTGTGGTACTTGGTGGGCAAGTTTTTGGGGCCACCGCCAACATCAATAAACTTTTTAGGAGCAAGATGACCAATAAAAGCCCTCTCTCTGGCCTCCTCTAGAGAGAGCAGCCTTGTAGGGGTGGATATAGCCAGGGATTTTGGTCGAGGTCTCTTCTGACTCTCTGAAAAAATAGTACATACAACATAAAATGAAAAATATATTTACAAAAGAGAAATTGCAAAGGACTTTCGGTAACGCATGGCAAAAAATAAATTTCCTACACTCAATTTAATTTTTTTAAATTCTAAAACAGGTTTAATTTGATTAACTAAGGTAAAAATAGTTTATCTAATAGCTTTACAGAAGCTTTTTAATAGAATTTTAATTTAAAAGTATAAAAATAGTCTTCTTCATCGTTCTTAATTATAATGTGGACTGTATTAATACATAAAAGTCTAAAACAATACCCATTGCTTATACTAAGAAGATAATGCTTTTTTTTTAATGTGTAAGTTTCTTTGAAAATATTTATGCTGAAAAAAATGTTGTGACCCTTACTGCCTGACTCAACATTGTTAAAGCTGGGCAACTTGTCAGTGAAGATGATGTCGCAGTAACAAATGAGACATTCTGTGACCACTGCCTGGATGCCAACACCTTGTAGAGCTGCAGCACCTCCGCCAGCTTCAAGTTCTTTGGACCTGTGGGGTGGAGGGGTTTAGGGTTAAGGTGTGATTTAAGGTTAGAGGGGTTTAGGGTTAAGGTGTGGTTTAAGATGAGAGAGTGGTTGAAGGTTAGATTGGGGTTGAAGGTTAGAGTGTGGTTTAAGGTTAGATTGGGGTTGAAGGTTAGATTGGGGTTGAAGGTTAGAGTATGGTTTAAGGTTAGAGTGTATTTAAGGTTTGAGTGTGGTTAAAGGTTAGAGTATGGTTTAAGGTTAGATTTGGGTTTAAGTTTAGGTTGGGGTTGAAGGTTAGATTGGGGTTGAAGGTTAGAGTGTGGTTTAAGGTTAGAGGGTGGATTATGGTTTTAGAGTTTTCTACAAAAGGAGCATGGTTTAAGGTTAGAACCTGGTATTAAGTTATTGTTGTTTAAGATTATGGTATGTTTCGAAGTTAGAGTGTGGTTTAAAGTTATATTAGTTAAAGATTTGTGATTGCTGATGTTATGTGTTGTAACATTTATTTATGCGATTACAGTTTGACAGTGTTAATTTTATTTGCTCAAGGTAGGAGTTTATTTTAATGCATTTTTATGGTGTTAAAGTTAGCTACAGTGTTTAAATATGAGAATGGCTCTCTATGTTTTAATGATAGAATGTATATTAATATTAAAAATTGTTTTTAAAAAATGTGTGTTATTGCTAGGGTGTTGTAATTGTTACATTTAAGAATGTTAAAACTTGTTTAAATGTAAGAAATGTAGAGTGTAATTTAATACAAAATTTACTGGAACATAAAATGACCCTCTTTTTTATATTAAATTCAATTTAAAATGCAAAGAGTGTTTAAAAAATCTATGTAATGATAAAAGCAGGAGTAAAAAAATTGTTTTAGCTTGAAATGGAAATGGAAAACAACATTATTTTTAAAATACGTATACCTTAGTAAATTAGGTGCCCAGACAATGGCCAGGTTTTTTGAATGCATCTCTGTCTCGTGCCCAAAAGCAGCCACCCTGGCAAGATGGCGCATGAGATATTCAGTTGTTCTGTAGTGAGGGGGAGGCAACTGCTGGACAACATCATGAATCTTCAACAATTTATTTTCATCATCTCGAACAGCATCCTGAAAAACAAAAATTGACATTAAAAATGTTCTCCGAAACAATTAAAAAACTAATTTGTTGCCTATACCACTTAGAGAAAACTTTTTAAAAATACCCTGAGGACAGCAAACAGAACATATTTTAAAAAAAACAGTCACTGATTGTTAGACTGCTAACCCAAAAGTCTCGAATTCAAAACCAGGTTCAAGTCAGTACAACATGTCTTAGTCCACGCAGCTCTGATGGTTACCTAATTCAAGTTAGGGAAAGTAAAGGCATAGTGCTGACCACACTATCCTTTTATATGCCAAGGTAACAAACAGGTGAACTCTATTTCACTTGTCCCATGGAATGACAGGTTTGAAAAGGAAACTTAACAGTCACTAGTGATGTGGTAGAGAGCAGAATAAAAGTCTGCCCAAACAGTCAGGCTTTCCTTCTTCTTTCTTCTTCATTCCTAATTTTAGTGTTGGAAGGGATTCTTTCCAACACAATTAAGTATACAGGTCAACTGGTTATGAGCCATTTAGGCCATTGACTCCGATTTCAGCCTGCTTTTCTTTTTGGATTTGCTTCCATAGCCTTAGTCAAACCAAGAACAAACTACAAGGCAGCAGTAGTTTGATTTTGGAGTTGTCTCTCCTAGAAGAGTGACTGTCCCCAGCTAACGAGCCTCATCTACCCATCATCGAACTCGAGACTTTACAGATTAGCAACCATGAGCTCTTACCGACTAGGCTTTCCAAGTTAAACAACCCCCAAAGAACACCCACATAGGTGTCTGGACATTTTATATACATGTTGACTACACAATCCCCGCTTATGTAGGCATTAAAGAAACATCAATACTTCATTTGTTCTGTGGTCTATCAGTCCTAAAAGTTACTTGTAACTTTACTCCTTGAATTGCCATTTCAAGGGTAATTAAATAAACTACACATTGTCATACATAACAAGTATATGTTACAAATAACAGAAACAACTCAACCTACAGCAAATTTATCATAGAGTTGATAAGTCAGCAGTGGGTTTGGCAATTCTCTAAAATACATTTTCAACAGGGAACTAATGCTGTGAATATCTTGGAGGTAACAATCTTCAGTCAAATCTGGCACACGATCTTCATCAAACGCTAGCCTGAAGTTTAAAAAATTAATAGTATTACTAAATCTTTAGTAAAACTATATAATGGTGTAAATTAAAAGATTTAAACAAAACTTAAACATAACCGCATAATTATATAAATATTCAACTGATACAAACGCTAGACTAAAGTTTAAAAATGAATTGTATTACTAAATCTTTAGTAAAAGTTAACTACATAATAGTGTAAATTAAATGATTTAAACAAATTTAAACATAACCTTAAAAAATAATATAAATATTCAATTTCAATGGTTACTGATACAAATTTTACAGCACTTTTACCAAAACAAAGAAAAGCGTACCTCAATTTTTGTATATTTGATGTGATTCCAGACAATCTATAAATACCATGTACTATGCCATGCTCTTCAATTATGTCAGTGCAGCTTTTCAGGAGAAGTGGTACTGTAAGAATTTAAAGTTGGTAGTTACATAGTTTAATTGATGTAGTGGGATACAGTAAAAATAAAAAGGTTGTAATTAAAGAAGTCAGGCAGTGAGGAATTTTTTTTTTAAATTAACTAAAAAAATGCTCAAATAATAGTGGGATGCTTAAAAACATAAAATGCTAATGTCTAAATAATGGCCATATGAAAATTTTCACGGATTAGTTGTATGTTTAGATATGTATTTAAATGTTAAATCTAAATGTTATATCTAAATGTTACGGATACCATTAAACCTATCCAGCTAAAAAAATTATTAAATACTTTAACACACCATATTCACAATGATCATCAAACTGACCATGCCTGAGTCATACTTACCATCATGGCCAGAGTTCAGCAGGTGCTCGCCCAGATCGCAACCAAACACTCTCTCCTTCACAATGCCTGACTGTTTCAGCTGGTTGCGCGGGGGACGGTGAGAAAAGAAGGTTCTCAAAAATGAAAGAAGTTTGCCATGTTTTCTAATCACTGTAGTTGACAAAAAAAAATAAACAGTCAGTCAACTTGTGGCCAAGTTATTTTAAATTTAAAACTGTTAAAAAACAAATTTTTATTTGCCATACTACTTAGCAGTTCTATTTTAAACTGGCTGTAAAGAGAATTGAAAACTGGCAAAACTATCTAGCAAAAACATAATGTAGTCTAAAATTTATAAAAGTTAGAATATCTTGTAAATGTGTCATGTATTAAAACAAAATAAAAGTTAATAGATGATATTTGTATTCTTAATAAGTTTTAATATTTAAAATGATGTGTATATTAATGCTAGGTTATAACAATACTTCAAGGACAATTTAAAATGATATTTCAAAATAGAATATTGTCCAAAAATTTTAAAACAATAAAAACTTCCTGAAATCAAAAAAGGGGGAAAACTCAAGGAGGTAAATAAAAACCAGGGGAAATAACTCTCATAACCCAACTAGAGTTACCCGTAACACCTTCAGGAAACTCTTCTATTATGGCTGGGGAGAGAGAGAAACCCATGCTGATTAATGATGATACAACATGCTGTGGCTGCACACCTTGCCAAGTGCTTAATTCAACACACTCGCAACAACCCAGTCATGTGTGAGCAACTCAATAGGTAGGTGGGTCTAACAAGCTGTTAGTTTTTTGGCAAGACAGTTACAACCCACTTGCAGTTAAGTCAGTACCTGAAACTACTCTGTACCTGAAACTACAGGCAACAAGCAACAGATAAATAATGTGGGAACAATTTTTTATCATTGGGAACAGGTGGTCATTACTTAGACATCCATAGCTCATTGCATGACATAGCTATATTTGATATATTATATGTTTCTAGGATTGTAGGAGGCTAAGTCTGATTTATGTGTGGTTGGGCAGAGACTGGATAAGGGCTGGATTAGAGCTTGGCTTGGAAAAGGGTTGGAACAAGGTTGCGGATTTGGGGCTAAGATTGGGGCAGTGGCCAGATTTGGTGTACGGTTTTATGGGAATTGGATTTAAGTCAAGGCCTAAAGTTATTTTTCCCCCCATAAAATGAGCTACAAATGCAGTAGATTACCTCTTTCCCATAATAAAAAAAAATGATCACCACAAGTTATTTTCTGTGTAACAGCTCTGTACGTTTATTATACTGAAGTATGACTAGAGATGCATCTACATTGGTTGGTTATTTAATGCAGTAATGAACAACTTATACCATGACTGCAGTAATGAACAACTTATACACTGACTGCAGTAGTGAACATCTTATAAATTGACTGACAGTTTGAATAATTACTCTGTGAAAGGTGTTCATACATTCCAAGCTAAATTTGCACTTTGAACTTGGTGAACTACAATTGATCATCCTTTTGAAAGTACCACTTGTGCTTTTAAGAAATATCCACCTTGTCACTTGTCTAATCCCAGTTCTTATTCTTATATTAATAGATCACATTTTAGACCAAGATGGTCTTTAGCATATTGACAAAAATTTAATATGAGTACACTTAACTAAGGACTCCTGCTTTTTAACAAAGTTATAAGGTCTCATTGTTTTCATTTAATTCCCAGGTTAACCAAGGCATGATTGATAGTATAAGTGTGTAGGAACATTTACGTTATGCTTAGTATGGAAATATACTTAAAATTTCTATGTTTTTATCTCTATTTTAAAAAGCATCAATGCCTAATATTTATTTTACTTGTCTTTTACATTGAAACTAATTTTAAATTCCATTTAGATACTAGTATATCTATGTCATTAGGGTTTTTTCAATTAAAAAAAGGATATGTTTATGGAATAATATTCCAACATTTACTTTTGAAAAATCTTTTGTATTACGTATATACTTTGGGAACCATTTACACATGCAGAAGTAATTATGTGTAGGTATTATATTTTAATTTATACACAATTATCATTAAATGGGGGATTTTTTTTACTTATTTATATATAAATATATAAGAACAGGTCTAGCTTTTTTCTATTTATATATAGGCCTATATATATAGAAGTGAATAAAAAAATTATTTCATGGCTGTAGAATCTTATTTTTTAACCTCTTTTTATGAACTTAACAAAAGCCAGATTGAACTGCATAAGCATAATATTAACTAGACTTTAACAAGGAAGATTTTTGTCTTTGTATACTGACCCATAATACCCATGTTTTAATATTTAAAATTAAAAGGATAAAAAATATCCATTTTTTGCTTCACTGGTTCAAGATCTACAGCCATGAATGGACAGGATGAAGTTAAATATTGGATAGTTGTATAAGAAATGGTATACATAAGAATTTAACAAAACTACTATATTTGAAATATAAGCCCATCAAAAAAGTTATATATAGGTGTATCTAGTGTGGTAGTTTACACAAAAAAAAACATTGATGGAAAATAAACAACTGAAATGAAAGTAGCACACAGCAAAGGCAAATGAAAAAATAAATAGCCATTTAGTAATCTCGGACTGCTAACTACTCACCATAAGGACAGACGTAATCCTGTATCAAAACATTCTATTTAAACTTGATAAGATCTTACGACTACAGTGTTAACCAGTAGCTAAATAAGACATGAACTGTCATATACAATACATAAAGGCTACTTGTGAAGTCTACCAGATGAAAGTGATGAACTCATGTAGAAAGATGTGAGAAGGTCACATTCTGACACAGCACTAACCAGACCAGACACTAAACCAATATTGTGACAATAAGAAAAAATACTTCTGTACTTGCATTCTCAGTTTAAGCAAACACCTTTGGGCACTTATCTATAAACAAGCTACTTGGATGATCAGGAATTGATTATATATACTCCGTCCAATTAGAGATAATGACTTGATTAGAAAATGAGCACAAAGACAAGAGCATCTCAGCTCAGATTAAAACAAAACTCTAGCAACCTACAAAAAGCGAAGTTAAGCTCAACATCAATGTGTTACGATTTAATTTTTTTTTAAAAACATCCAAGATAACGAAACAAAAAAAAATTCTGGTTGCTTTAGTATGATGAATGTGAAGAAGCTCTAACTAAACAAAAAAAATTAAAAATAATGTTGCAAGAAACGGAACAATTTGTGAAGCCGACCACAGGTGAGTTAGGTCCTGCATGCCCACACAGAGAACAAGCCCAGGCAAAAAGTAAATTATACAAACAACTGACTGGTTGGTGACGACTCAGGGTTGGACAGCGAAACTGTCCCGACCGAACTACCGCTTGTCGAGGTGGAGGACCGCGAGGGGGAGGGTGATGGTGTGGATGAGGATGGTGTGGATGGTGTTGTGGTGGTGGGGGTGGTGGTGGTGGTGGTGGTTGTCGTGGAGATGGGTGGCATCTCTCCCAAACTCTCACAGGGTTTACGTGAGGCGGCAGCCGTGGCCAGAGGCTCAGGGAAGCAGGTAGCCATGGAGGAGGGCAGCTTCTCGCCAATCACTTCCACACACTCGCTCGGGAAAAAGCCAACCTGGGGGTAGAAAAAAATTTCATTTTGTTATTCGTCAAACTCGTTATCATCAAGAGGTTTCACCACAACAAAATAATAAAAATCTTTAGATTTCATGCAGCATATTAAAATTTTATTTCTGCTTACAAAATGTAAATGTAGAATTTTTCACTTACATTAGGATTATAAAACAAAAGCAACTAGTATTGAGTTTAATCATTTGAAAAATTCAGAAATAATTGAAAAAAGATGGCGCTGGATTAAGAATGAGGCCAGATTAAATATACTCTATTGCACTGAATTAGAGCTGCATGGTAAAAAAGTGGACAGGGAAGGTATAGTGGGACATCTAGGTGCCCAGCAGAAAAACAACTGACAAAAGTTGGACTATCTTGGGGAACTGCAGAGAAAGTTGCCAGTGACTGGCAGACATAGAAAGGCCTGTGATGGCCTCATGCATCAGGAAAAGATGATGATTCCAAAATCATAAAACTTCATCTTCAACCAGCAGTAACAATAACCTTAGGTATAAACTTCAATATATTTACTATTTATCAAGTACAGATTTTCCTTAGCATAATAATATTTTCTGACAGCATTTTCATAAAAATGGAGTGGCTTTTTTTTTCAAAAAAAAAAAAGCAGTGTTGGAATGCAGTGAATTCATTTCCAACTTTTAATTTTTTTTTAACTCCAAGCAAGATTTCATTAAAGACATGAAAAAAGTGTAGAATAAGAAGTTTTTTTTTTTTAGAAAATACTTTAGAAAGCATGTATTGAACACATAATCTCACCTCAAAACCTCTTTTCCCTCTCCACCATATAGTGTCTTCAGCAGATGGCATATCAATAACAGAAATCATATCTCCAACCTAAGTAATATAACAAAAACATTGCCAGTTCTTATACACTTCAACACTTTAAATATAACACAAAAATAAATTGTTAACTAAAATATCTTTCAGTGCAAACAAATGTGCAGTATTTAGAATTTGAATTAAAAACAAAACTACAATTACTACAATATAAACTATAATAAAAATTTGTAATTTAACAATTTACTCTCTGTTGATTACACATTTTACACATTCATTGACACACATCTGTAATATCAGTGAGGAATGAAAAACTTCACTGAAAAACTACTTTGTTGAATACATAAAATAAAGTCTAGAAAAAGCTGGTAATTCAAGAAATACTCTACATAGAAAGGTGTATAAATAAACAAACAGTTGCTCTACATAAAAAAAGAAGCTAAAAAACACCACTATTATGGTCCATTATCAAAACTAGTTTAACTGTTAGACCAGGTCAATGTATCCTCTGCTGTCGGAAATGAGGTCAGATTTAAGTGCTCTCTTGAAATTGGAACAGACAGGGAAATTTGGTTTTAAACAATGTGTCAGGGTAAACAATTCAATTGCTTGTCAGTTTTTACTGTACAACTTAAGGCATATTTTCTAACAAAAAGTGTTTTAAATCTACGCAAAAGGTTAACATTATATGCATTTTTTTTGCCTGTTTAAAAAATGCATACAATGTTCTCTCTACCAAACAGCAGGTTGAATTTGTTAGAAATTTTGTGATCCAGGTTATGGAAAAACAATCCATCTCATGCTTAGAATAAAATAAAAATTCTAATATAATGGAATTTACTACTCCAAAATTTAAAATTAATTAAAAAACAACCTATACAAAAATCTAATCCAAATTTTGTAGAAATATATTAAAACAATCTAATCCAAGTTTTGTAGAAATAGACTGAACCAATCTAATCCAAGTTTTGTAGAAATAGACTAAACCAATCTAATCTCTTTGGACCAAAACACTGACCTGAAGGGATATCTCATCAGCAGCTTGACCATTGTAGCGCTTGATGACATGGGCAGCAGCTATGGCCGGTGTATTGATACCTGAGTCATCAGTGGCAACTAGCCTGTGACCCCTGTTGTCCATCTGGTCAAGTAGAAGAAACCTTATCTTAAACATTCCAATCAGGGGTGATTTTATATTGGAAAGAAGGTACTTTGATTAGCCATACCCAAATATAAGAAATACAGACAAAAGTACTTCATCACTAGACTTAACTCAAAACATTATAAGGGTTTAAGTATACTGTCAATCCTAACCTAAATAAGTGGATGTGACTAATTGATACAAAACTTTAAAAAGTTACAAACCAACCAACCTCCCACAAGAAAAATCAACAGGAAAATAATTTATACTTGGTATATCAAAAAACAATTTGAAAAATTGACCACTAATTTAGGTTACCTCTATCTAACTGATGTCAGAACCACAGTAAACCATTCCAATTAGGGGTCATTTTTATTGATTTGGGAAAAAGGTATTTTGATTGGCCATACCCAAATATAAAAAAATACAGACAAAAGTCCTTCACCCCTAAACTTAACATCAACCATAATGATAAGGGTTGATACTGGCAAACCTAACCCAAATAATTGGGCGTGACTAATTAAAAAGTTAAAATCCATGGGAAAAACAACAAGAAAATAATTTATAATTGATAGATCGTAAAATAATTTGAATGCAAAAAAATAAAAATGTTTATAAAGACCATTTATTTTAGTTACATCCATCCAACTGAGAACAGAACCACAGTTAACCATTCCAGTCAGGGGTCATTTTATACTGGGAGGGAGGTATTTTGATTGGCCATACCCAAATATAAAAAATACAAAGTACTTCATCTCTAAACTTAACACTAACCATAATGATAAGGGTTGATATGGCAAACCTAACCCAAATAATTGGGCTTGACTAATTAAAAAGTTAAAATCCAAGCAACCTCCCACTTGGAAAAACAACAAGAAAATAATTTATATTTGGTAGATCGTAAAACAATTTGAATGAAAAAATAAAAATGTTTATAAAGACCACTTAATTGGTTACCTCCATCCAACTGAGAACAGAACCACAGTTAACCATTCCTCCACCTCCAGCTTTCCCAGCAAGTTCTGAAAATCTGCTCAAGTACTTTTCTATAACAGGCTGCACCTCCTAAAGACCGTAAAGTGATCATAAAGTGATTGATGTTGGTGAAGTTTTAACATATACACACACAAACACATGCCAGAACAACTTGAATCCAGGTATTATTTTAATCAGCAATCTAATAACTTATATATGGAAGTTAGTGTTTTACAAAGTAAAAATATGGGCTGACTAGGCTGGGCATATACTAGAAAGTGTTTAAAAAAGTGTAGTAAAGAAAATGATCAATTTAAAATAATATGAGGTAGGTATGATCAAGTCTTGACTTATTATTATCTTACTCAGCAATCTAGTAACTTATAAATGGGGGATAATAAAATGGTAAAAATTTGAGCTGAATTAGTTGGGTAAACACTAGAAAGTGTTTGAAAAAGTGTAGTAAAGAAAATGATCAATTTAAAATAATATGAGGTAGGTATGATCAAGTCTTGACTTATTATTATCTTACTCAGCGATCTAGTAACTTATAAATGGGGGATAGTAAAATTGTAAAAATTTGAGCTGAATTAGTGGGGCAAACACAAGAAAGTGTTTGAAAAGGTGTAGTAAAAATATCAATTTAATATAACAAGAACAGCGTATGATCTAGCCTGACTTGAAAAGGTGCAGTAAAAATAAATAATTTAAGATTTAAAAAAGGGGGTTTGATCCAACCAGGAGGGTATCATACTATTACTAGTTGACTATTGCCTTGAGTCTGTAGGACAAACCAGTGATTTTCAAAGCCTGAAGAGCGCCAGACTAGTCAGAACATTTGAGCTTTTTTTAGTCCTACAACTCCTTACATGGTGTGGCCACAAACAGGTGGACTCTACTTCACCTATATTATGATGCTAGGGGGAGAGAAAGGACAAAAACTTACAGCTCTTGTCTTTGTCTCAAGCTGGGCTGCTTTCAAATCCTCCAGTTGTGAAAAACGACGATCATAAATGCACCTGAAACAAAACAAAAATTAGTATGTAACTGGCTGGATGGAATTTCAGGTTTTACAGCTACAGGCTATGGCTCTATAGCTTTACAAAGTATGGATGCAGATTAGTTAATTTGGGTGTAACACTTTCACATTATAGTAACCTTTTGGAAGCTTGTGTGTTTGGTTTTAATTCTTCAAATTTTCCTAGTCTTTCATATTCTGAGTCTTGCTACACTATTATAATTATTATTTCTCTTGCTATATAACTACTGCAATTTATGTATCATAATATCACTGATGCAAATAAAAGCTTGGTTAAAATATAAAACATCTTGCATAAGCTCATGTTATTGCACACACAAGTACACTGAAATCAAAAGAAATGTGTTTTGATATTTGTGATGGAATTTTCTTCAAAGAGGTAAATATTTTCATTGATTTAACCATTTCCGTAAAATAAAACACTGTAAAAAATATAGCTATCTAATCACTTGCCTGTGTAACTGTTTATCTAAAGTAGCAAAATTCTCCACAGATCTCCTAATCATCCATGACTTCTCAGCACTAACTGTGACTAGAAACATCCTCAAGTCATTGGGAGGCTCTGTGTTGTGTTTGTATATACTAGAATCATCACCACACAAGCTTAGCTGTAAGGAAGACACAAATGGTCAAACAATACATAGAGAATATGAACAATTTCTAGTGAAATCAATACAACGAATATGGACAATTTAAACTATGCTATCTATAAAGAATGTTTTCTAGTGAAATCAATACACAGAATATGGACAATTTAAACTATGCTATCTATAAGGAATGTTTTCTAGTGAAATCAATACACAGAATATGGACAATTTAAACTATGCTATCTATAAGGAATGTTTTCTAGTGAAATCAATACACAGAATATGGACAACTTAAACTATGCTATCTATAAGGAATGTTTTCTAGTGAAATCAATACACAGAATATGGACAATTTAAACTATGCTATCTATAAGGAATGTTTTCTAGTGAAATCAATACACAGAATATGGACAATTTAAACTATGCTATCTATAAGGAATGTTTTCTAGTGAAATCAATACACAGAATATGGACAATTTAAACTATGCTATCTATAAGGAATGTTTTCTAGTGAAATCAATACACAGTATATGGACAATTTAAACTATGCTATCTACAAGGATTGTCTAACAAAAAAGGATCCAAAACTTGGCACTGAGATGGAATCCACTTGGAAAGTGAAAGACAGGAAGGCCATGTGCAAGGTGGATGAAAGAGATGGAAGAAGAGGTGCTGACCACAGGCAAAACCTGACAATAACTCGGGTGGTCACCATGGACAGGAAGGCATGGTGGAGTTTTGTTGCTGCCTGACCAAAATATCCTTTTAAGGTAGGTTTGCCTTGGACTAATAGTTTGATTAACACTAAAAGCTAACCCAAACTTAGTTTTAATTCCAAATAATTTTTGTTAACAAAGGTGTTTCCAAAAGCAAAACGTACTTCCAATGAAGGAATCTCAACAAGCTCATAATGGAAGTGAGCATATTCTTTCAGCGTAGGAAACCTAAACGTACTTTTAATTCCTAATATTTGTTGTTAACAAATGTGTTTCCAAAATTCCAAAAGCACATCATACCTTCAATGAAGGAATATCAACAAGCTCATAATGGAAGTGAGCATATTCTTCCAGAATAGGAAACCCAACCGTACTTTTAATTCCTAATATCTGTTGTTAACGAAGGTGACACCAAAATTACTACGTACCTTCAATGAAGGAATCTCAACAAGCTCATAATGGAAGTGAGCATATTCTTCCAGCTTAGGAAACCCAAACATTCTTTTAATTCCTAATAATTGTTGTTAACAAATGTGTTTTCAAAATTCCAAAAGCACAACATACCTTCAATGAAGGAATCTCTACAAGTTCGTAATGGAAGTGAGCATATTCTTCCAGCTTAGGAAACCCAAACATTCTTTTAATTCCAAAATTCCAAAAGCACAACATACCTTCAATGAAGGAATCTCTACAAGTTCGTAATGGAAGTGAGCATATTCTTCCAGCTTAGGAAACCCAAACATTCTTTTAATTCCAAAATTCCAAAAGCACAACATACCTTCAATGAAGGAATCTCTACAAGTTCGTAATGGAAGTGAGCATATTCTTCCAGCTTAGGAAACCCAAACATTCTTTTAATTCCAAAATTCCAAAAGCACAACATACCTTCAATGAAGGAATCTCTACAAGTTCGTAATGGAAGTGAGCATATTCTTCCAGCTTAGGAAACCCAAACATTCTTTTAATTCCAAAATTCCAAAAGCACAACATACCTTCAATGAAGGAATCTCTACAAGTTCGTAATGGAAGTGAGCATATTCTTCCAGCTTAGGAAACCCAAACATTCTTTTAATTCCAAAATTCCAAAAGCAAAACGTACCTTCAATGAAGGAATCTCCACAAGCTCATAATGGAAATGAGCATATTCTTCCAGCTTAGGAAACCTGGTGAGCTCTGACCCAAGCTGGCTCTGCCCTCCCCCCTGGGTTGGGGGCGAGATGTGCTTCACCTTCATGGCGTTGCTGAAGCTGGACTTGCGTGGTGGGGTCAGAGACTCCCTGCTATCTTGGGCCTGCTGTACAATAGAGACGTGGCTTAAACATGTGTCAACAGTTTGGAGAAAGGGTGTGGAGAAGGAATAATATGCACAGGTCAATAATTACAAGAAGCAATGTCTGGAGAGTCCCCCAGTCGTTCATCTCATTAGAGACTTTGTCAGCTTGGTGGAATAATCTGTATTGAATATGTACATTTCAGGGGGAATAACCTCAGCAGTTACCCAAACAAGAGTATCCAGTGGTTCCTTATAAAATCTTTACTGAAACACAGGATACACATCAATCATTTATTTCAATAGAATTTTTTTAAATCTCAGCAAAACCCAATCAGTACCAGTCTTTTAAATGTTTTGGAATGTTAAACTTCATATATGAACTTAGAACAACCCCACATAAACTAGTTAGCTAATGTTCCCTAGCTACAGTTATATTTTGGACAAATTTCAGAGGTTCCAACACTGTTTTCACTTTCAAAACCCATAACTATCTTAAAACTAATGCTATTTGGTTAGGTTAAAAAAAATGATTCCATGAATAATCTATGTGTAAAATTAAACAATCTTTTAAAGGTAGATAACTTATCTTTAAATAATACTGTTTACTTATGCTAAAGTAGTAACTTATGTTACGTGAACTACTCATTTAATAACTTATTTAATAAGTAAAAGAATACAATTGCACACCCACTAAGTCCACAATATTTTTAGCTCAAAAAAATGCATAGTTTATTTAGACCTAAGTAAATGAGTCCAACCTTAAAAAGAAAACTAATAAAAATGAATGTTTTATTAAACATCATTTTGTTTTCAGACAAGGCCTAGCACCTGTAACAACTTATCATAAGGTTTACTTTTTTAATACAGATTGTTTTTGCTACATTATGATTACATTACAGATAAAGCATAGCTCCCATGAAAATTTGTTAGACTCACAATTTCAATAGAGATTATCCTTTCCAACACTGAATAATTCACATTGTGGTAAATAGAAGTTTTAAGCTCAAAAAAAAATTGTTTAAAATTAATGGTTTCATCAGAATCTGTTCTATCTACCTCTATAAAAAAACCTGCGTTTAAAATACAGCAGGGTTACTTTTTCTATACAGATTATCCTAGCTACATTATGATACATTACAGATAAAGCATAGCTCCCATGAAAACTAATAAGTCTCACAATTTCAATAGAGATTATCTTTTCCAACACTAATTAATTCACATTGTGGTAAACACAAGTTTTAACTTGAAATATTTTTTTTAAAAATCAATGGAATCTGTTCTATTCACCTCTATGACAAACATGCATTTAAAATACATTAGGTTTCCTTTTTTTATACAGATTATCCTAGCTACATTATGATACATTACAGATAAAGCATAGCTCCCATGAAAACCAATAAGGCTCACAATTTCAATACATATTATCCTTTCCAACACTGATTAATACATTGTGGTGAACAGAAATTTTAACTCAAAAAAAATAAAAATCAATAGTTTCACCAGAATCTGTTATATCAACCTCTATGACACATCTGCATTTAAAATACAGCAGGGTTGCTTTTTCTATACAGATTATCCTTGCAACATTACAGATAAACCATAGCTCCCATGAAAACCAATAAGGCTCACAATGTCAACACAGGTTATCCTTTCCAAAACTGATTAATACATTGTGGTGAACAGAAATTTTAACTCAAAAAAAAAAGATTATTAAAAAAAAAAATCAATGGTTTCATCAGAATTTGTTCCAACCACCCCTATGACAAACCTGCATTTAAAATACACCAGCTCCAAGCTAACAAACACCTCCATCTCACGTTGTTCATGAGTTCATTTAGAATGGAAAAAAAAAATCCATGAGGTAATTATTTTCCCAGACTGCACCAACCTGTTTGTGAGAATGTGTGAAGCCACCCTCTGACTTGATGGTTCCTGAGCTACCTTTTCTGTGGCTGACATCATCATCATTGAGGGAAACATTTCTGTACAAAACAAAAAGATAGTTTTACCTGTGCAATACAAAATGCTGGAAATTGGGGGGGAAAAAGATTTCAATTTTGTGTTAGTGCATGTTGGAGAAAAGAGAAGGTAAGCTAATTTAACCAAGCATTCATTTGTTTATACATGAAAAAATTTTTAGTATATTAATAACGCATTACGAGCTATTAACTCTATAATGGCAATAATGCCTACGGTGACATTTTCTGTAAAGCATTTTGTACTGGGTCAGATAGAAAAATTAAATATATCCAGTGGATCTTCAAAAAAATATGGTTGAGTTTTTTGTAGTTCCAGTACAAATTAATTATTTGTTTTATTGGCAGTTGTTTTACAATAAGTGTGTTTCTCATGATAGTCAAAAAAAAGTGTTGAATATTTATAGTTACAGTACATATTAATTTTAAACATTTTAGTAGAAATTATTTTTAAATGAGTGTTTGTTTCAAGAATGTGTAGTTAAGATTCAGGCATTAACAAGTAAAAAGTAGATAATATTAAGTGATGAGGATCAGATGGTCAAAATACATGTTACAAATAGGAGTATCACAAAATCATTTTAAAAAAAGCAAGTCATGCACTACAGCAGTAAATGGGTTTTTTATATTATTAAAATTATTTTTTTAACAAATATTTTATGGTCTGGTATGATAAATTTGTTTGACAGCATTATAACATTTTAATTGGACCAAGCTGTTTTGTATAATCATGTTTTTTTTAAATCATGTGTACAATATGGTTAAAGTAGTTTTTATACAGATGATTAGTCAGTCTTCAGAACATACTTAAATTAAGTCTTAGCCAAAATACACTCATAACTTTAACAATAAAAAAATATTTAATTATGATAAATAAATTTTAAAATTTAGGAATAAAATAGAAACTGTCAAGTGTGGTATGTAGGAAAAAGCTAAAAACAATAATCACCATCTAGCTTTATCATTATAACCTAACATAGTAAATGGCACCTATTTCTATCATTTCTTTAGACAGATCACCAAGCTTTGAACAGCCTCCTACCTCAGGTCAATTAAAGTCATTCGTCTTGGCCGCAGACACTGACCAGTTCGTTTCCGCGTAATCTGCGGGGTGCCGTAAATATTTTGCACGTGAAACCTAGCGGCCCTGTCTACATCAGTAAACATGGCTACAGCCGTTTGTGTTTTTTCTAGCGTCTAGCAAAGTTACATCCAAGGTAAACATTGATGCCCCCACACAAAGCAGCACATTATATCAGCGAGTAAACACATCTCCATGTCTAGATGAGTTGCCATGGTGTCCAGTGTAAGCAACTAAACATGGTTGAGGAGTCCACTTCATTGTGACACTGGATGATTGATTTTTTTATTTTTTCTATAACTAGTTCCAATTAACTTCTTTTGAAACTTGAAAATGTATTCAGGGAAAACAAATGTGATCTAACGTTTGTTATTGTACTATAAATAGTGTTTGTTGTTGTACTATAAATAGATAATAACACAATATATGTAGATTTACAGAGCTTCACATCAGCAAACACAATACTAAACTTCTAATATTAAGACAACCTGATATTAACAGAAATTTTACATATCTTAACAGCCACATTCAAATTCTTAGTTTAAAAGGCCTATTGACATTACAAATAGCAACAAAAACTATTAATAAGACAGTGAGTTCCAGTGCCAATAAATAAATCTTATGCCGAGTTTTAAAAAAAAAGAAAACTAGAAAATATTTAAAGAGCTAAACACAGCTGACCAAATCAAAGCCCTTTCAAGCATTCAGCTCAACTTGTAATGATGAAAGTAAAAGGTCAACTACACCAAGCCTGGACAAATTAATGCAAATTAATATCACTATATCCATAGTTTTAAAAACAACAAATCCTAAGAATAAATCACAGCTCAGCTCAGAAAATCCAAGCCCCCTTCAAGCAATCAACTCAACTTGTAATGAGGAAGGCAAAAGGTCAACTTTACTACAACTCAAATCATAATTGCTTTATCCAGAGTTTAAAAAATTTTTTAAAGCAAGAAATTCGAAGAATAAATCACAACTCAACTCAGAAAACACCAGCCCACTTCGAGCAATCAGCTCAACTTGTCACTAGAAAGGTAAAAGAAGGTCAACTTTATAACTGGATAAATTAATGCAAACTAATTATCACCACATCCAGAGTTTTAAACAATTTTAAAAGCAAGAAATCTGAAGAATAAATCACAGCGCAACTCAGAAAACACCAGCCCGCTTCTAAACTTATTATGAGGAAAGTAAAAGGTCAACTTTACAACTGGATTAATTAATATCAACAAATCCAGACCTAAAAAAAAATTTTAAAAGCAAGAAATCCGAAGAATAAATCACAGCTCAACTCAGAAAACACCAGCCTGCTTGAAGCAATCAGCTCAACTTGTCATTAGAAAGGTAAAAGGTCAACTGTACAACTGGATAAATTAATGCTAATTAATTATCACCACATCCAGAGTTTTCAAAAATTTTAAAAGCAAGAAATCCAAAGAATAAATCACAGCTCAACTCAAAAAACACCATCCTGCTTCAAGCAATCAGCTAAACTTGTTATGAGTAAAGTAAAAGTTCAACTTTACAACTGGATAAATTAATGCAAATTAATAATCACCACATCCAGAGGTTTATAAAAGCAAGAAATTCGAAGAATAAATTACAGCTAAACAGAAAACACAAGCCCGCTTTAAGCATTCAGCTAAACTTGTCATGAGGAAAGTAAAAGGTCAACTTTACAACTGTATTAATTAATATCACCAAATCCAGAGCTAAAAAAAAATTAAAAAGCAAGAAATTCAAAAAATAAATCACAGCTCAGCTCAGAAAACACCAGCCCGCTTCAAGCATTCAGCTCAACTTGTCATGAGGAAGGTAAAAGGTCAACTTTACTCCCAGTCTGGATCAAGTCCCCTGATGTGTAAGACACAACAAGTCTCTAACCAGCAGGCTGAACAAAGTGGTAAATAACAATTCCCTGACGGTGGGGCCGGCAAGTGGCTGCCACTTGAGATTGAGTACTTCCTGACTTTGGATCTAATGTCCACGAAACTAAGAGCACAAGAGTCTTGCTAATTATAATAGCTGTGATTGTTTCCTGATATGCCCAGTGTACACTTAAAGCATACAGTCAACCCTGTAACGCACAACAGAAGTACCGGTCTAAACATGAAATCCATGTTTTGTCTAATACAACGAACAACTATTGCTATTGTTAATGTATACAATACAACTGTACTTATACTTTTTAATATTTAATAAGAATTAATGAGATCAAGTGTGTTCATAATTTGTGTATTTCAGTATTTATGTCAAACACATCCACAAAAAAAGCATGCAACCAGGTTCTTTAGGCTAGATTTGAACTTGAAATGTCTGGTTCAGAAGACCCAGGACATTAATTGGTGCTTAAAGTGATGGATGACATGATGTCATTTACCTTCATACCCCCCCACCCCCCACATCCATCTTTTCAGCGTTACAACTTTTTAAAATATCTATGCATATCTATGTCTTGTTTATCAGATGCTCATGATTAAGGCTGAAATTCTAAATTTTAATTTGCAAACTTTTCTTATAAAGTGTTTTTTTCATAAAGAAAGTTTATCATTTCTCACCAATACATAAACTTGCATCTAGATTAAACACCCTTCTGTTGTAAACTCAAACGTTGCACATATAGGATGCAGTGAGTGTTAGCTTGAAAAGCTTGAGTGAGACTAATGAGGATAACTGTGCTTGCATACAGTACAGCTACACACAGCTTGAGTCATACAGATACATAGTCTCAATTAAGGGGGAAATTAGCACTGCCGCAAATACCAATATTTGCATAGGCCTGTATATAATCATAGCCTGTGGTTTGAGACCCACTGAACTGTTAAAACAAAATATCTTTTATACACTGAAAGTATGTAACCTACAAATCAATAGGCTGTAATATCAGCATATTTATAATGACAAATATAGACCCTTGTATGCAGCATGAATAAACATTAGCTGGGTCATCAGTTCTTCCCACTATAGGCTTATATAATAGAAAATACATATTAGCTGGGTTGACAGTGCTTAACAAATTAACATGAAATACATAGATGATAGGACATAATAAACTTATATAATACAGAATAAACATTAGCTGGGTCATCAGTTCTTCCCACTATAGGCTTATATAATACAAAATACATATTAGCTGGGTTGTCAGTGCTTAACCAATTAACATGAAATACATAGATGATAGGACATAATAAACTTATATAATACAGAATAAACATTAGGTAGGTCATCAGTTCTTCCCAAATTAACATCTAATGCAAAGACTATAGGGCTCTGCAGGCTTATATAATACATAAACATCATCCTTGATTTCAAATCTATTGAACTGTTGCAGGGGAATCATCTGTGTTAGATAAAGATTTTAAAGCCTCCTCCATAAAAATAAAACAAATGCTTGTTGGTAATTTTTGCTGATATAACTAATTGACATCAAAACCATAGACTATATGGGTATATAGGCCTAATGCATAAATATATTTTTAGTCCATGGTTTGAAATCTATTGAACTGTTGCAGGGAAACATCAGTGTTTGAGATTTGAGTACCTCGATAAAACAACTGTTGGTAATTTTTGCTTATCTTTTTATAACTAAAAAAAAAAACGGCCCCGTGAAATAAAGTATGGGTGGGGGGAAAAAAACAACGCAAAAACCACAAACACTCACATCTGAATGCCAAAGAGACGTAGGGTCGTACATTTGTGTTGGTAATCCGCCAGTCTCAGTCAGCGACTGCCGCCTTCCCCCAGAAGGACAACACGCTCTACGGTAGTAAAAGGGGGGAGGGGTGGACACGGGGGAGGCTGGATCGATACTCCTTTCTTACTGGCGCCATCCCACCCTCAGACAACACTCTAGCACTCGGCAAAGATCGGGTTGTGTTGAGGGGGGACAAAGAGACCAGATGGACGCGTGTGTGACGGTCGCACACACGCACGCACACACACGCGCGCGCACGTGATGGTAACTCAAATCACCAGAACAGCTAAAATAAGCAGGTTAATTTTTTTTTAATGACAGACGTAATGATTTATTAGTATCAACCATGAGGCCCGTAAGGAGTAACCAATTATTTTTTTAAAAAAAACTGCTTGCTCGTGGTTGTCTGAACGTCGTGGGCGGGGATGTCAGCAACACGATAAAAGATATTGTTCGACGAGCCTTACCGCTAGGGTTAGTTAGCGGTAATGTTTATGGGCATCGGCGCTACAATAAGTGGGTACGCCAGCCGTGTTACAAGAACTATAAACAGATAAGCCGCGCCCACATAGGCATAGTGAGTATGTAATTAGCAGGCTTGGGTAGATGTGCTACGTGTACTCACACAACCCGCCCCGGATCTCATAAAACGACACTGTAGGTACGTAGTAATGTAATCCCCCCCCCCCCACACACACATGAATCTAGTGTGTAATACTTACTCAGATATAGTAGGTGTGTAATATTTACTCAGATTTAGTAAATGTGTAATATTTACTCAGATTTAGTAAATGTGTAATATTTACTCAGATATACTAGGTGTGTAATATTTACTCACGTATACTAGGTGTGTAATATTTACTCACGTATACTAGGTGTGTAATATTTACTCAGATATACTAGTTGTGTATTATTTACTCAGATATAGTCGTTGTGTAATATTCACTCAAACAAAAAACACGGTAGGCATTATTTACTGAATTGGATAAGTAAGTTGTGTGATAAAATACTAATGTTTACTTCGCTAAGGTAGAGTTGGGTAATATATTTAATCAAATAGGTAGTAGGTAATATTTTTACTCAAAAAGCCACGGAAGGAAATATTCATTCAGATATGGTCGGTGATGGGACAGCGCGGATGAATGATAGAGCTGACCACACTATACCCTTCACATGCCAAGGTCACTGAAACAGAGCTCTACTTCACCATGGACAGTAAGGTTCGAAATTGTACTTTATTATCGGTATGTCATTAGTACTCAGATATGGTAGGTGTATACTTCTACTCAAATGTATGCGGTATATTTTTACTCAAATATATACGGTATGTGTATATTTTTACTCAAATATATTCGGTATGTGCATATTTTACTCAAATATATACGGTATGTGTATATTTTTACTCAAATATTTACGGTATGTGCATATTTTACTCAAATATATACGTTATGTGCATAGTTTACTCAAATATATAAAGTATGTGTATATTTTTACTCAAGTATATACGGTATGTGTATATTTTTACTCAAATATATACGGTATGTGTGTGTGTAGACTTTTACTCACACAGCAGAGCATAATATTTACTCAGACACGGTAGCGGCCTACTAACACGTAAGCAAACTAAACAGGTTTCGTGTGTCAACTAAACACTTGAGTCTTACGATCACACAC